AACGCAGTACACTCACCGAGACAAGAACGCAGTACACTCACCGAGACAAGAATGGAGTACATCTGTCTCTTATACACATCTAGATGTGTATAAGAGACAGGTCCCAGGTGGGGGGTGGGGGGACAGCCCCAGGTCAGGAGGGAGGGGGTTAGTCCTAGGTGAGGGAAGGGGGAAATTATTGTTAATATTATAATATATTTAAAACTTATTATATACTTATTATTATGAGAAAGTATTAGTTGAAGATTTTCTCCATAGTAGACGTTATCAGAGAAATATGCTGAAAAAGAAAAAATTTTTAGAAAGAAGAAGAGGAAGATATTAATAAAAGATTTATTTAGAAAAAATAATATTATGAAGGTATAGAATTTATATTATAATATTATGAAGGTATGAATTAAAGACCGCGTTATACAGCAGGATGACGGGGGGATGTGGGATGTGTACCAGAGCTACGCCCCCACCCCCGCCTTCACCCCCAGCCGCCTCCCCAAACCCACATCAAAGATGGCGGCTAAACCCGTGAAAAAACCGTCGGGCATCCCGCGCCCGAAGACCGGCCGGAGCAAGTAGACCGAATAGTGAACATAATAATTATATCGATTAAATTAATATTTAATTAGTTATCATTTATTTATACAATATTAATTAATTAAATCCATTATAATATTATAATAATTATACCAATTAATATTTTTAGTATTATGAATGTTGTTAATATTTATTATTGTTCTGTTCAATAATTGTGTATAAATTTCGCATATTAAAGTTTTTTAATTTATTAATAATTGTACAAATTTTTGCAGTATTTTTTACTTAGAATATTTCAATTTTGGCAAGTGCAAGTTCCATTAATAATTGAGAAATCGAAGTTTAGTTCAAATATTAAAATGCAATTAAAATTGGAGTTATGTGCAAATTGTTGATTGGAAATTGACTTAATATAATTTTTTTATGTTTTAGGATCATGAAAAAAATCAGTCAAATAGGATTATTAAATATCAAGGATTTTTCACTCCCAACGCCGGATTAAAGTGCTATAAATATTACTGATTATTACATAGCATCGCTGTAAATCACCTCTTGTAATATTAGTACATAATATATATACATATTAATTCCTGCATATATGTTTCATTACTTTTAATTAAATATATTAGTTTCATATTATGTTGAGAACATGCAGCTCTGTAGTCTGCATGTTGCGATGTGGCCAACATTCCAATTAAACAATTAATTCGATAACATGTATTAATTAGTTCGATAATTAATTGGATAACATGATTAAGTAGTGAATTAATCCTGATTAATTAGCTACTGCTGGATTAATGAAGTAATTCATGAAGTAATTCGCTATTTTGTGTTGGGTTCAGGATTCCTTAGTTGAAGATAGAGGATTTAAATAAAATTCATTGTTTACAAACATAAAATAAATAAATATATTCTCACTGAAACAACAGCAACCGTTATTAAACTTTACATTCAAAACATCGATCTACACAAAACATTTTGTACTCTTCACACATTACAAAAGTTATAGATGTACACTCTTCACACATTACAAAAGTTATAGTTGTACACTATAACAAGTTACAAAAGTTATAGTTGTACACTCTTCACACATTACAAAAGTTATAGTTGTACACTCTTCACACATTACAAAAGTTATAGTTGTACACTCTTCACACATTACAAAAGTTATAGTTGTACACTATAACACATTATAAAAGTTACAATATGTAACAGTGCTACTATTTCCTTGGACGGTTGATACATGAAAATAATTCCCCTGAAAAGTAATTCTCCTAAAAAAGTAAAAAGTAAATTAAAAAAATAAGTAATAACAAGCCACACACACGGCAGGTTAATCAGCATTAAACAGCTTCAAATCATTACCTTCTTGCCTAACTATACTTATTAATAAATAATATTGAACAAGTCATGAACTTGTGAGTTCAACCAGAACAACCAAAAGGTAGGACTCCGGAGGGCAGGATAAGTTTAAGTCAATCATTAAAAATGACATTTCTTTTAATTTTTTCTCATGAAAAGACAAGATAATACTGGGAATATAGAATGTTTATCCATAAGTAAAGACCAGATCTATTATAATACTCGGAATGTAGATTATTTGTCCTTAGGGAATGACCAGATCTATAATAATACTCGGAATATCAGATATTTTTCCTAAAGGAAAAACCAGATCTATAATAATACTCTTAAGACTACAAAATAGGCACGTCACAGAAACATTTTAACGTCGTGCTGATTATAACGCTTAACACCAAATAATAACACCAGTATCTCGTTGTTACCTTGGGTAACGTATTCAATAATAACACCAGTATCTCGTTGTTACCTTGGGTAACACATTCAATAATTAAAAACACCAGTACCTTCGTTGTTACCTTGGGTAACGTATTCAATAATAACACCAGTACCTTGTTGTTACCTTGGGTAACGTATTCAATAATAACACCAGTATCTCGTTGTTACCTTGGGTAACACATTCAATAATTAAAAACACCAGTACCTTCGTTGTTACCTTGGGTAACGCATTCAATAATAACACCAGTACCTTGTTGTTACCTTGGGTAACGTATTCAATAATAACACCAGTATCTCGTTGTTACCTTGGGTAACACATTCAATAATTAAAANACACACTTGTCATACTCCTGTCTCTTATACACATCTAGATGTGTATAAGAGACGGGTCCTATTCCATAGGATCCTTAGTCCCAGCTTCTCTAAATAATTAATTATATAGTGAAACGTATCATCATAAACTCTGCTGAGGCGCAAGACTCTCTTCACGGCGCCTGTCGAGGCGCAGCTTCTCTTCGGACACAGGACTCTCTTCACGGCGCCTGTCGAGGCGCAGCTTCTCTTCGGACTCAGGACTCTCTTCACGGCGCCTGTCGAGGCGCAGTTCCTCTTCAGAAGAGTCGCTGTCGAGGTAGCGGGGCCTGTGCGACCCTTTGTTCAGTTTGTAACCCTCGCTGTTGGGGTCGGGGGGTTCAAGCCCCTGTTCCAAGTAGGCGGGGTTGCTGTAGCGAACCCCATACGTGAAGTACAGGATTAAACCTGCACAATTACAGAGGTGTTAAGGCATTATTTTGATGGATTTAGAAGTGACGAAAGGATAGGATTCTTTAGGATTCTTTGTATACGATTCTATACAGAGAATCGTACAGAGGAGTAAAGGTGCCCTTACCCTAGGTAAGCTACTCGAATTGATCGTTTGTATTCACGATGTATGTATGTATTCATGAAGAATGTAGGTATTTATTATTGACGTGTGTATGTACTCATGTGTAAACTTTCATAAGCACTACTTACCTACAATGTATGGCCGATGTATGAAGGACGCGCAAACAGTTAACGAGATTATGTCACAAATAATGAATACGAAAACGGAAATATAATGAGGGTTGAATTACAGTGAGATTTTCTCACTCCTTTAAATTATAAATAATCTTACGATGTGATACATGACATACGTTACCAAGGGGCGCGTATTCGTATCTTGGCAGACAAGTGCTGGCATGGAAAACAGCTATTGTTTATTGTTATAAACGTATATCTAAGTATATATCTATAATCTAAGTGAGTATTGCAAGTATTGTACCCTAGTCGTTAGGACTTGAAGTTAAGAGGCCAGTATTGTACCCTAGTCGTTAGGACTTGAAGTGAAGAGGCCAGTATTGTAGCCTAGTCGTTAGGACTTGAAGTTAAGAGGCCAGTATTGCAGCCTAGTCGTTAGGACTTGAAGTTGAAAGGCTAGTATTGTACCCTAGTCGTTAGGACTTGAAGTTAAGAGGCCAGTATTGTACCCTAGTCGTTAGGACTTGAAGTTAAGTGCGCATCTACGACGCTTGATTGCAGAAGTAAATGATATAGGATTGCAGTTAATCATTTTAATGCATAATCACAATGGTCACATGATGGTTGTTCCTGAGACAAGTTCATCAGTTAAAGCTCAAATAACATATAGTTTAATAAAATAAATAGATAGGCAAAGAAATGAAACCGAAAATGCCAGATGAACGGCCGAAGTAACGTAACAACCAATGGGTACATAATTTCAACGGAAACTAAAAAACTGTTTTATTAATGAGATAATATTTAATTTTTATTTAAAACGTTGACTTCGATTGCTTCATCTAGTAATATTATTTCATTTTTGTACTATTTTGAAACAGGGTTGCCAGAGGGTCTTTTTCTCAGGACCAATTCCGCAATTTAGTTTTTTCCAATTGCGTTGGCCGGCTTAAATTTATGATAGGGGTACTATCTAATTAAATTTTAATAACGGCAAAAAACTTGAATTTTTACACCGGAACCTACAAATACGCTAGTATATATCGAGTTATATTCCTTTTTTGGCCTTTTTTCTTCGCGGACTTGGCCGTTTTTATTATTACTTGGCCGTTTTTAGGCCATCTGACAACCCTGAATTATGTACCACTACGTCTTGGAGAAATACACTTCGTGGTACGCATATGTACCACTTCGGAGTCAACGTGTTGAAATATGGTGCTTTTTTAGGCACTATCTTTGTTTTTAAATCATTGGTTAATTTGTGATTTAAGTAAATTAATAATACATAAATACATTCACTGATTATTAGTTTTCTAAAGCAAATCTCTACAGGTTCTACTTCAAGTTCTACCTTATCTTTTAAATGAAGATGAAATTAATCAAAATTTTATACATGAATTTCGTAGGGAATTAACCTCTGAATTTGTAAATAAAAGGCTAATTCTGCATGCATTCAGAGAAATATATACGTCATATCGTCCAAAAAAGTGACAATTTTCTCACGTAGCACTGATACGTATTTTTTTCGGGGTAAAACAAAATCAAGGTAAAAATTACCTTGATTTTGGATTAAGACTCACTCATTTCTTTGAGTGTGGATTCGACTCGTACCACCATTCTTTCTATAGCATACAAACCATGTGTAGGTACGTTTTTTGGACAAGTGGACTTTACAATTAAAAAAATATATATTTTTATCTTAATATATCATGTCTTAAATTAGAACATACAAAGCCATGTGATTTGCGTGCAAAAGCAGGCAAAAGAAACCGACAGGTTGAGGTCCTTAGATGAAATTTATCAAATAAATAAATAAATGATTGGAAAAATGTAAAAAAAAGTTCATCCAGTTACCAAATGCCAGGCTCCGTAAATGTGTTTTTACACATGGAAACTAGTGGCGGCCACTGGAACTATCAAATGATAATGGTGAATATTTACCGTGCTATTAAAAAAATATTAATTACCGCCACTATTTACCGTGCTATTGGCCCCATGAAAAAGACGCTACTGGCCACTGAAGGACCCAGTAACTGTTTACACGAGGCCAGTAGCACGAATATTTAGTGGCGGTTAGTATTAGCAAGTTTTACTGGCCGCCACTACTGTCCGCGTGTACTAGCACCTTATGGCGTGGAAAGTTAAGATATTCAAATTAAACAAATGGCTTGTTTTAATAGCATTATTGTGACGGATATAGTGACGTCATTATAGTTGGAAAGTTTAAAAGATATATATATGTATAAAATACACACTTAATAGAAAAATTATTTGATAAATAACCTAATTTTAAGATTGTCAAGAAAATTCTGTATATTTCACAGAAAAATTCGAATTTCGTTTTCATCGCCACAAAATTTTAAGATGAAAACAATCAAATTTATTTGAAAACAGAATAAAATTATTGTTATTGTTAGCTTCCACCCAGTCGTTATATTTCCGGTCACAAATGAGAGCAAAATGAACAGGCAAGCAAGGGTTTAAACGTTGATGATAGATAATATTATTATTATTATAATCAGTATCATTATTACTATTCTGTACAGCATTACTATTATGTACAGCCTCGGGTGCAGTAGGCATTACAGGTTACTACTTCATCGAAATATGGAACAAAATAGTCGAAGTAAAATGATCCAGATCTAAAAATTATTAATGAGAGACAAAGAACTGATAGCAGCCAAAGAAAATTTCGGTTAATTTTATATAGGTCTTTCTTATTTTCATCAAATTATTCATTAATAATGACCGTTCATAGAGGTTTATTGATAGAGTGCGCTATATTTATAAGGGCGCTTTTCCGCTCCCCCTAGGTGATGATGGTTAATCTAAAGATAATTGCATTATTGTTGTATAAGAGCTATTGGTAATATAAACTTTTCATGGCATAAATCGCTTAATTCCGCATTATACTCATGATATCTAAAAGCTTACAATAAGTTATTTTATTAGTAGTTAATCAAGTTCATATTTCATGTCAGCGAGATAACAAAGCATCGATAAAAAACTATTTTAGCGATTAAAAACAAAGCACAGAAAGGAAAAGTCAAAAAGCAGTCAAAGGAAAATACGGCCATGCGTGCTAATAAATTACAGCCAGGCGTGCCTTTATTATAAAATATTCTGAATATACAAACTAATTACAAGCATGAGCTGATGTGTGACAGCTATTGCCGTGCAATGAGAATGCTCCAGTTCTGAGAATGGCAATGTTCCAGTTTTGGGATTGGAGCAATGGGAAACCTCCAGTCATAGAAATGATGAAGATCCAGTCATAGAAATGATGAAGATCCATTCCTGAATGATGATGCTACATCAGGCGCCGCCCAGGACTCGGGGAGCGCGTAAATCAGCCGCTCATGTCCGCCTCGGCCGGGCTTGAAGTGCAGCCTCTGAGCAGCTTGCAAGCTCGGCATGACTCGGCCATGACAACCGTTGTCATACTCTCAGGACACACTTGTCATACTCTCAGGACACACTTGTCATACTCTCAGGACACACTTGTCATACTCTCAGGACACACTTGTCATACTCTCAGGACACACATGTCATACTCTCAGGACACACTTGTCATACTCTCAGGACACACTTGTCATACTCTCAGGACACACTTGTCATACTCTCAGGACACACTTGTCATACTCTCAGGACACACGTGTCATACTCTAGACCCAAAGTAACTTTGGGCCCAGTGTAGCGACTCCAGCACAAAAGCGAAGGCGTTCCCCGACTTTAGTAAGGGTAGAGGAGGGAATGCTCTCGTTCTAAGGGAATGTTAGGGCATCCAAGAGTTGGGTCTGCAGCTCTAAGCACGAATGCAGGTGCCACGAATGCAGGTTGCAGGTGCCACGAATGCAGGTTGCAGGTGCCACGAATGCAGGTTGCAGGTGCCACGAATGCAGGTTGCAGGTGCCATGAATCACTGAAATTTGTTCCTGAGGTCCGTAAGCAACGCCGGCGCTGCGCTAGATGGTAATAGGATCGCTGGCCGCCGATGGCGCGTCCTTAGCACCGTCAGCAGAGAAGCTCTGCACTAACGTCCTGACCTGAGACTCCCTGCTACTGGGGCGCAAGTAGGGGGTCCTCCTTTGGGGAGGTGGCATCCCCAGGGAGGATAGAAACATTGGGGAAAGACTCGGGGATTTCGGTGAAGTCGCTGTGGATGACGGCGGATGGGATTGCTAATGGTAACGTCTTGGCAGGTGGTGATACTTCAGCGGGGGTTTCAGAAGGGGAATTTTATTGGGGGGAAGTAGGGGGATGATTTTGGGAGATACTTTCTCTTCGGGGAGATGTAGGGGGTGTGAGGGGAGGCGAAGATGATGGAGGAGTAGGAGGCATAGGGGACGAAGGAGGAGTAGGGGGTAGAGGGGACGGCGGAGGTGAGACTGATGAACCTACCAGGGGATCTGATTGCAAATTATCAAAGGGGGAATCTTTCCGGTTGACTGCGTTATCATTTGTATTATTATTTGCATTATGATTAGTGTTATCATTTGTTTTATTTGCGGAATCATTTGCCTTATTATTAGCGTTATCATTCAGGCTATCATTTGCTTTATTGACGCCGTAAGCGCCAGACAAATCATCGAACGGGTCACCGGCGACTAGTTTGCTCTCGCCCCGTTCACGTATAACGTCTAGCCCGTCAAATGGTTCTTTAACGGGTATCACCAAGAACTCGTTGACCCGTTTTGCTAACGGGTCAGTTGGAGAGCTGGGGGGTATTGAATCGAAGCTTGAATTCCGTATCAACGGGCCGGGTCTTTGGGCCAGCGGTGTTGATGGAACGCTTGATGAAACGGGGCCGTGGGCCTCGATGTCTTCGTGTACGTCACCAACGGACGATGATTTGGCGAGCAGAGTTAGAGGGTCCGCTTGGTGGGTCACAGGGTCCGTTTGGTGGCCCACAGTGTCCGTTTGGTGGGTCACAGGGTCCGTTTGGTGGGTCACAGGGTCCGTTTGGTGGGTAACAGGGTCCGTTTGGTGGGTCACAGAAGCAGACGATGATAATGCTGCTTCGTTACCTTCGTCTCGTGCGACGTCTTCAGGTCGTATCCCATCGTCAGGTTCGTCGTCGGACAGCGACCAGCGAACAAGCGGAGCCGCAACCAGCGCGGAGTTTGGTACCGATGGTTCCTGGTCGCCGGTAGGTGGTTCTTGCCCGCCTGGAGAAAGTTCTTGCCCGCCTGCAGGTTGTTCCTCTCCGCCTGCAGAAGGTTCTTTCTGCCCTACAGGTGGTTCTGCCACTTGACCGTAAGCTGGTGGAGCGTCGTAGCCCAAAAGAGCTTCTTCCTTTTGGACGATTTTTTGGTCGCTGTTTTCCATTTCAATTGCCATGCCATCAGTTACAGGGTCGTCTGCTTGCGGCATTTGCCGTACGAGTTCTTCGGTAACTAGTGGAACCATGGCAAGTTCTTCGGTACCTAATGGACTAGTAACAGGTTCTTTGGTATCACTAATCCCTGGGTCTTTGTTATCGGTACCATCAGGGGTCGGGGTGTGGGGTCGGGACGGGTGTGGGGTTGGCTGCTGGACCAGGATTTTAGGGACCTCAGGGTCAGGGTTGTCATCCTCAAAGGCAGGGTTAGTCACGGATTCCCTACCGGTCGTTTGTTCAGGGTCCACGTGGCAAATGCCGTAGAAAAAGTAGATGGCGAAGCCTTAAAGAAAAAGAAGAAAAAATAATGTTTAAGGAAAAAATAGGCAAAAAATGTAACAAGGATAACGGAGTGCATGCCCAGAACGTGATTAGTTTCGTGCATGTTTAAAAACAAGCGTGAACAATTAGTAATAACAATGAAGTAAAAAAAAGTTAGGTATAAATTTAAACAAAAATGAATTAGTGAAGTAGTGAGGCAATAGTTAGTGAGGGGTCGGTGAAAAATTATATTCTAGTGATATAGTAATTAGAACAGAGGCAGCAATGTAAATACTTAAACAAAAAGTGTTATAGCAAGCAGATATGTACACGTGCAAGATGTAAAATAATAGTAATGCAAATAAAATAAAAATAGCAAAATTAAAATAATAATTACCACTCAAAAATAAAAAAATTGAAGATGCAAACTTAAGAGAAGTGGAAACCAGAGACCAAATTTGCGGAAGTCGACGGCAAAGTTTAAAGTTTGCGTTTAACTTACTTCGAATTTCGCTGAGCGGAGATTTTGGTCTTAAAGAAATAATAAAAAAATAATTTCCATGTGAGGCTTAGTTACGGTAGAGTGAGGCTAAGTCTCACGCCTCACCTAGCCTCCCTAGCCTCACCTAGCCTCCCCAGCCTCACCTAGCCTCCCCAGCCTCACCTAGCCTCCCCAGCCTCCCCTAGCCTCCCTAGCCTCACCTAACCTCCCCAGCCTCACCTAACCTCCCCAGCCTCACCTAGCCTTTCACACATCCAGACTGACAGTCACACATCCAGACTGACAGTCACACATCCAGACTGACAGTCACACATCCAGACTGACAGTCACACATCCAGAATGATAGTCTCACAAATTTCTCTGACGAAGGCTACCGGTGCACCGCTATGTGGACAGTCCCACTCGTTCCTCTAAGTGTACAGGAAAAAGTTTTTATTGGCGTACCTCGAAAGCGAGGCGCTTCTTTGACCGCGGCTGTCTGGAGATGGACGCCACGACGATGATGGACAGCACCAAGCACAAAGAGCAGAAGAAGATGGACACCGCATCACCGTCCACCACGGACGGCCCTAGCAGCGTGAACAGCAGCGTCGTCGTGAAGCACAACACACCTGCCAACAAATGCCATCTTCAACTTCTCTGTGCAAATACAATTGTTACTAAATCCTGACACACCCGAACAAAATTTGGGTACCGCCTCGACGTCTGCCCTATAGAGTCGCCACACTCGCTTGAAGTTATTCCCCTAACAAAATTCGGGGTGTGCTTCAGCCTCTGCCCCAGAGTTGCTATGTTCGCGTTAGAGTTATTCTGGGTCAGTTGGCCAACTGATCGCAATCAGCGACTAGTCAGAACCTTCTTGCCGACTTTATGGTCTCCTGAGAGTTGGGCAAGAGTTGGCAGAATCCCCTCAGTCCCCTCACCAGGCTCTGGTAGCTGTCTGATTCGGGGACCAGAATGTAGACCAAAAAAGCGGACATATATATATAGAGAAGCTGATTTACGTTCGGTCCGAGTCCTAGGCGGTTCGTAATTCAAGGTCGCCAATAACTAAAAATTTTGATAGGGATGCTGGTGGACTATGCTCCCAGAGGCCAGAGTCCTAGGCGTTCCTTAATCCAGAGCCGCCCTCGACTCTAAATTTTGTTAAAGCTCTGTGACAACACAGTCGTTACTAAAACCCGACACACCCGAACAAAATTTGGGTACCGCCTCGGCTTCTGCCCTAGAGTCGCTACACTCGCTTAAAGTTATTCTGGGTCTGCTTGGCCACCCGATCATGAGAGTATGACAAGTGTGTCCTGAGAGTATGACAAGTGTGTCCTGAGAGTATGACAAGTGTNCACGCACCAGCGAAGACGCCCGACACGAAGGTGGCCACGACGGGGGACTGGAAGCGCTCGCTGACGCGCGCGAGGCTCCTGAAGAGCAGCCCGTCCGCTGCCATGGCGTAGATGATGCGAGGCATGGGGAAGATCGCGCCGAACAAACTAAACGCGTAATTACTGTGATTACCTGGTAATACTTTACGATATTAGCGATGCAAACTACCGGCGTAATTGCCGTCATTACTGCGATTAAACGCGGAATTACTGTGATTACCTCTGTCTCTTATACACATCTAGATGTGTATAAGAGACAGGTCATACAGCAGGGTGAAGGCAAGTAACACAAGGCAAGTAACACAAGGCAAGTAACACAAGGCAAGCAACAACATACAAGTAACCCAAAAATATAACACACATCGGGGGGCAGAAAGTGCACTGATATTAGGACAAAGTGTCGCTCATTTCTCTCAGTGTACAGGGCCTATACTTTCAAAAAAATTTAAGAGATCGTAAGTCCATCAGCCAATTATTGACGGCCTTTCAAGCAAAATCCACCAATCATAGATAAGAAAATAGAGCGTAAGTACTTACGTTCACTTAGCGAGTTTTGAAAGTATGGCCCCTGGTAAGTAACGCTAATTACTCACGGCAGTTTCGAGTATCCGTACTCATGTACTGTAGGTACTCGTACGTACTCAGGGTCATCCGAGTATCTGGGGTACGCATACAGGGAAAAACACAAGCGTCATCACACAGAATATACAAAGCTTATTAGTCCACACAAAATATACACAGATATTAAAGCCACACGGAATATATGATGTTTATAAACCCATTCAGAGGTGTGCTGTATTAAATGCTGTGTGAGCATCGAATGTCGCCAATCAGACAAGTGTGTAATGTATGGATGTACTTTCTTCCATACACGACACATGTATAGAGGATATCATGAAAAAATCAGCAGAAAACTCAAAGTCAAGCTAATTAAATTATTATAAATCAAATGCCAAACAAATCAATAATAAACACACGGTGGCAAATCAATAAATCATTATAGATAAACCATGGAAATGCAAACGCTGGGGAGAAATCAATATAAATGAGCAACACACGACAAGCAAACAAAAGAAAAATAACTAAAATGTTATAATAATAAATAAATATACTATTAAATCGGTAGGATAAGCGAACATAATTCTGTGAAACAATACGGACAGCACAGTAACGATACGGTACATGTATAAGTACAGCATCATTACAACACCATTACATCCACAATCTAAAAGCAATGAAAACGCCATATAAATTCATCATTCTTCGTTCGAAAACATTTCGTAGTGCAGACCGGTCGTCGCTTCGAAAAATTTCATTGAACATAACTAAAATCAAAACAAGTAATTCCATAAATAAAAGAGAAATTTAAAGCCTCAGTAACGAGAAAACGATAAACGGAACATAAAAACCTATCGTTTCCGTCTAAAATATGCAAAAGTTTTACAGCAGGATCTTTCGTTCGAATCTGCTACTTTCTAATCCTTCTCATTCTGCTGGGCGGCTTCACGCCGATTTCAAGATAATTTCTTCCACCTCTGCTGGTTCTGATTTAATTATTGAAGAATCGTTGCATGTTTTTAAACGGAAACCTTGTCTTAATAACACAAGTACAGTTTTAATCCTCTGGAAATTATAAGTCGATAGATTTTCATCTTCCGTTATCGTTTTCTCATTACTTAAATTTAATTTTTCTCGTGTATATTCTTATTTTCGCAACTAATTGTACTTGTACCGGGAGTCTTTAATATTTTTAAACTAATTATATAGAGCTCGCCTCCGAAACATTTTCATTTAAAATATCGCGAATTGCATGGCGGGATTTTTACCTTAAAATTCTTGGTGAAGATGTAATTTAAGCAAAGTAATGATATAATTACATCATAATTAAATCATTACATGATAATACTGTGCCCACCTGAGCAACATGACGCAGAGAGCGACGATGGTGTAGGCCTGCAGCGTCCCTATGCTCATCATGTTGATGAGCTGGTCCAGGTCAAACAGCATGGCCATCATAGCTGTTAACATCATCACACATCATCATCCTCATCATGCTGGAGAACATGTAGAATAGGTAAGGTAGATGAGGTGGATGTGGTAGATGAGGTAGATATGGTAGATGAGGTAGGCAGGGTAGATGATGTAAACATGGTAGATAAGGCAGGCATGGTGGATGAGGTGGATATGGTAGACGAGATGGGTATAATAGATGAGGTAGGCATAGTTGATATGGTAGACAAGATAGGCATGGTAGACAAGGTAGTAGCTACGGTAGGCAAGGTAGATATGGTAGACAAGGTAGACAAGTTAGTAGCTACGGTACACAAGGTAGACAAGCTAGTAGGTATGGTAAACAAGCTAGTAGATATGGTAGACAAGTTAGTAGATATGGCAGACAAGTTAGTAGCTACGGTAGACAAGGTGGTAGATAAGGTAGACGAGGTAGATAGTAGACACGCACCAGCGAAGACGCCCGACACGAAGGTGGCCACGACGGGGGACTGGAAGCGCTCGCTGACGCGCGCGAGGCTCCTGAAGAGCAGCCCGTCCGCTGCCATGGCGTAGATGATGCGAGGCATGGGGAAGATCGCGCCGAACAAACTAAACGCGTAATTACTGTGATTACCTGGTAATACTTTACGATATTAGCGATGCAAACTACCGGCGTAATTGCCGTCATTACTGCGATTAAACGCGGAATTACTGTGATTACCTGGTAATACTCTACGATATTAGCGATGCAAACTACCGGCATTATTCCCATGATTACCGGGCAAATCTGTAAACTATTAGAAAGACAAACTACCAGCATTGCATTCATTATTAAAAGCGTCAACGTTGTTACCAGGCAAGACTTAACGCTTCTAGCGATGCAAACTACCTTGATTAAGATGATTCCTGTGATAACTAGCCAATAATTTTTATTATTTGGACAGTATGGCCCATTCATTTCTTGTGAGAGATCAGTTACCTGGCCGAGAAGCCGAAGAGCGCACCAAAGCTGACGATATTTTTGGAGACGTTCATGCCATAGTAGTCGTAGAGGTAGATTAGGGGCGCCCCAGGGTCCTGGGGGCGAGCGTGGGTAAGTGGGTCAAACATACTGCAATATTCCTGACTGTATTATAGCCTCGTAGAGGTAGATTAGGGCCGCCCCAGGGTCCTGGGGGCGAGCGTGGGTAAGTGGGTCAAACAGTGGCTAGGTGAGTCAAACATAACGCAATATTCCTACATGGATTATATAGACTTATATAGAATCGAATCTAATATTTAATGATGACATTAACGAAACACCAGCGGCACCACGGAGTGCACGAACTACGTACCCTAGGACCTCATGACCTAATGAAGAGTTTAGGACTTCTTAGTCTATATACGGTTACGCGGATTACGCCGCCTAGCTTCGTCGTCCATCATCTCCGAGTCTTCGCTAGGCATGTCGCCCCGCCTTCGGGTCCCGGATGTAATATTGAATGGGTTCCGTCTACCTACCCTCCTTTGGGGCCAGCTGATGCAAGATGCTGTTGCTTGTCTTGCTGAGGGTAGTTTCCTATAACCTGATGATCAAGAATCTTGCTCAAAAAGTCGTCCTGTCGTCGTTTGAATGTCGCAAGGGAGAAGTCCACTCTTTCCAGCTCCTTTGGCACGGCATTGAACAGCCACGGCCCTGCCACGGAATGAGATCCCTCAAAAGGAGTAGAAAAAGTCTGTACTCTGGCCGCAGCTCGATTTATAAATGGAGGAATCCTGATATTTTCTTCCTCCTTTCGTTGTAATACGTCACAATTTTCGAGGTCTCAAAGTCGGGAGCCAGTCCGGTTATTATCTTCCAAGTGTACAGTATGATACACCTCTCTCTTCTCCTCTCCAGTGAGTACAGTTCCAGGTGTTTCAGCCTTCCCCAGTAGTTCAGGTTCAGCTCCCTCATGCCGCTGATCCTGTACGTGAAGGTACGCTGCCTGCCTCCAGTTTCCGCACCGCACCCGCCTTGAGTGGCGACCAAAGCTGGCAGCAATACTCAAGATTGGGGGGCACGAAGGCTCTGATGAGTATATAGTCATTGGCTCCGTTTCTCTCGTTCGGAATGTCCGTCGGATCCAACCCATCACTTATCTGCCTCGCGCAACTATTTCCTCGATGTGGTCATCGAACGTGGCTTCAGTACACATCAACACTCCGAGATCTCGAACTAGTTGCTTCTCTTCAATTTGTATGTCGTTCGATGCCAAGTAGTGATGTGGCATCCCGACCTCCTTGCCAACTCTGTATCTCATTACTTCGAACTTAGTGCCGTTGAACTGCATACTGTTCACTAGGGCCCAATCGTATATTGACGATAGGTCATCCTGTAACCTCTCGCAGTCTAGGTCATCTGTTATCTTCATCAGCACTCTTGTATCGTCCGCAAATGACGACGTAGATGCGTGGGTGAGTTCTGAGTCAATATCAGCAATGTGGATGAGGAAGAGGATCGGTCCAAGCACTCAGTCCATCGAACACACCGCTTTTCACCCTCGCTTCTCCCGATTTAGAGTTTCCAATTGCAACGGCTTTTGCCTTGTCACCGGACATCTCAGCAACTTTTCAATGAAGACCACGGAATATATGGCCAAACGCCGGTAACTATCTTATTTAAAATAATGATCAGACTAAAGTTTCAATTGCTGGAATTTTATTGCACTTGGTTGCTCATTAAAACTACAGTTCATACGGATAAAACGTGAGTTGTATTTCGGTAAAGGACACTTAAAAAGTAAAACGATCAAAATAGTAAAACCATGTGTGACAGACATTGTACTGATTGATGGAGTTTTTAGAGCACAGCCAAAAGAGCTAGCGTTGGGGCACAAGATCTAGTGTTCTAGTGGAGCTAGTGGAACAACAAGCGAGGAAAGTTCAGGTCGAACCTCACAGTATGGCTGGCCTGACACGAATGACTACCCGACGTCTCTGTTACAGTAAAGTCAGACTCGAGTGTTACTCAGGCGACTGCGCCAGAGTAACAATTGCACTCTTGGTATCCTCGTTACCAAAAGCACTTGAAATTATAAATAGAATGCTGGTATTAAATGATTGAAAACAGTGAACGATCACCATCTTTCACAACCCTATCTGTCAAGAAGTTGTGGATCCACCCTAACAGGCTTCCTCCTACCCCCAAGAGCCTCAGCTTTCTAAAGAGCACCAACCCCTTGGTCAACTTTGTCTAAAGCTCTAGCAAAGTCCAGGTATACCTGCATGCACTACGTACCTGCATGCAGTAAGGCAGCGCCAGGGTCAGTACGGTGCATGAATTACGTACCTGCATGCAGTAGGGCAGCGCCAGGGTCAGTACGGTGCCGATGCCGAAGTACGCTAGGAAGATCACGAAGAGAGAAATGCAGATACTGAGAGGCAGGTTTCGCTCCGGTCTGATAGCCTCCTCACCTGCAGGAGTGAGGACATGCACGAGTAAGTGAGCAAAGAGGAGAAAACGGTCACGTCAAGCACGTGATGTCTCCTGACGACCATACCCTATGACGCGGCCATCGACGGTATCTTTTTCGGGAGGATACCCTGCCTTGTACTAGCTGGCGGACGGGTATATGGCACATTTTGGGTTGGGTCAAACGGCCGAGATTTCACGATAGAGGTCAAACGACAGAGGAACCACGGTACAGCCCCACGGTAGAACCCTGCAGCTGAGGCCCCACGGCAGAGGCCTCACGGCAGAGGACCCACGGATGAGGCCTCACGGCAGAGGCCCCATGGTAGAGGTCCCTCATCCCGCACGGTACCTAGTACCGGCGGTCGACTTCTCGTAAACGTTCGACAGCGTACAATGATTGCGACTCCTAACAATGATTACGACCAATAATTTCTAGCAATAGTTATGTCACTGGCTATGTTTCCATACCATAAATGCAGGCTAGCGTCCTGTTAGTCCCAGAAAATGCAATCCTTCTCCAGAGCTATTTTATCGACACAGGAGTCCCTCAGGGATCGGTTATATCTCCCACACTAGGTATTCAACCACTTGACCTCCGATACATCAGTACCGGTCTCCATCATTGCCTCTTACTCAGATGACTTCACAGTTTTCATGGCCTCCCCGAAGCTTGAGGCTACAGAAGTGAAACTCGCACAGCAACTCTTGGTCCACCGTAGAAATTGGCCGTAGCCCCTGGCAAGTCATCCGTCACACTTTTCACTTTTGACGTCCATCAATCACGCACAATTGTTCCACCATATTCTCTGCCTGCCTTATCTCCATCCAAAACTACCCCTCCAAAATTCTACCGCTCCTCGAAATACTACCCCTCCTCATCCCTTAAAAACTCCTAAAACTTCCCTACAAAACTCCATAAATTCTGATAGTCATTTGAGACAAACACTACACACTCATCCTTCACGTCAGGTCCAGGGCCCTGAACTAGGCGAGACGAAGCTAGAGGTCTTTACGCAGTCAGATCTCCACCCCCGCCTCTGAGTCCCGATAACCCCACCAATCCCCGATCGCCTTTCAAGAGATTTTGCTTCCCCGTTGCTACTGCGCCTCGGGTGCGGGGATCTCCTCCAGTGTACGCAACAAGTATTTGTCTTCCCCAACGTACCCCACGACCCAAAGCGTCCCCTTTCCTTGGAGACAGACTCATGAAGATGACGGTCTCCTAGCTGGGTCCACATCCCCACATGTGTGCGTGATGTCCGCACAAGACAAAACATGCGCCCCACCCGCTCCCCATTTGTGCCCTCACTCGCGCCCCACTCATGCCACCAGGTACCCCACTCATACCCCCCTCGCGCCCCACCTGTACCCACTTACACCCTCACGTGCCCAACCCATACCCCTGTCTCTTATACACATCTAGATGTGTATAAGAGACAGGCTCTGATGAGTATATAGTCATTGGCTCCGTTTCTCTCGTTCGGAATGTCCGTCGGATCCAACCCATCACTTATCTGCCTCGCGCAACTATTTCCTCGATGTGGTCATCGAACGTGGNACACGTGTCTCACCCAGTGTAGCGGCCGCGATGATGACGTATATCACCACACACATGTTGTACTGTAGCCCAGTATACAGGCCAGTATACACGTGTCTCACCCAGTGTAGCGGCCGCGATGATGACGTATATCACCACACACATGTTGTACTGTAGCCCAGTATACAGGCCAGTATACACGTGTCTCACCCAGTGTAGCGGCCGCGATGATGACGTATATCACCACACACATGTTGTACTGTAGCCCAGTATACAGGCCAGTATACACGTGTCTCACCCAGTGTAGCGGCCGCGATGATGACGTATATCACCACACACATGTTGTACTGTAGCCCAGTATACAGGCCAGTATACACGTGTCTCACCCAGTGTAGCGGCCGCGATGATGACGTATATCACCACACACATGTTGTACTGTAGCCCAGTATACAGGCCAGTATACACGTGTCTCACCCAGTGTAGCGGCCGCGATGATGACGTATATCACCACACACATGTTGTACTGTAGCCCAGTATACAGGCCAGTATACACGTGTCTCACCCAGTGTAGCGGCCGCGATGATGACGTATATCACCACACACATGTTGTACTGTAGCCCAGTATACAGGCCAGTATACACGTGTCTCACCCAGTGTAGCGGCCGCGATGATGACGTATATCACCACACACATGTTGATGATCGTCACGATGGTGTTCATCAGTGATGACTCCTTCACACCGAACGCCAGCACCACTGCCATATTCATCATACATCAATAATATAACGAGTTGTACGTGAATTATATCACGAATAACATAATGAGCTGTACGTTAATTATACAGTAATTATAGCTTAACCATAGTTATTTTCATTGCGTTAGATAAATTTTGAATACAAGTCATGTTGAATATGATATATAATGTAAGCAGAAAACCTCGACTAAAAATATTGCGGGGGTGAGGCCAGCCAAGACTCACCCGTGAGGCCAGTCAAGACTCACCCGTGAGGCCAGCCCAGACTCACCCGTGAGGCCAGCCAAGACTCACCCGTGAGGCCAGCCAAGACTCGCCCGTGAGGCCAGCCAAGACTCACCCGTGAGGCCAGCCAAGACTCACCCGTGAGGCCAGCCAAGACTCACCCGTGAGGCCAGCCAAGACTCACCCGTGAGGCCAGCCAAGACTCACCCGTGAGGCCAGCCAAGACTCACCCGTGAGGCCAGCCAAGACTCACCCGTGAGGCCAGCCAAGACTCACCCGTGAGGCCAGCCAAGACTCACCCGTGAGGCCAGCCAAGACTCACCCGTGAGGCCAGCCAAGACTCACCCGTGAGGCCAGCCAAGACTCACCCGTGAGGCCAGCCAAGACTCACCCGTGAGGCCAGCCAAGACTCACCCGTGAGGCCAGCCAAGACTCACCCGTGAGGCCAGCCAAGACTCACCCGTGAGGCCAGCCAAGACTCACCCGTGAGGCCAGCCAAGACTCACCCGTGAGGCCAGCCAAGACTCACCCGTGAGGCCAGCCAAGACTCACCCGTGAGGCCAGCCAAGACTCACCCGTGAGGCCAGCCAAGACTCACCCGTGAGGCCAGCCAAGACTCACCCGTGAGGCCAGCCAAGACTCACCCGTGAGGCCAGCCAAGACTCACCCGTGAGGCCAGCCAAGACTCACCCGTGAGGCCAGCCAAGACTCACCCGTGAGGCCAGCCAAGACTCACCCGTGAGGCCAGCCAAGACTCACCCGTGAGGCCAGCCAAGACTCACCCGTGAGGCCAGCCAAGACTCACCCGTGAGGCCAGCCAAGACTCACCCGTGAGGCCAGCCAAGACTCACCCGTGAGGCCAGCCAAGACTCACCCGTGAGGCCAGCCAAGACTCACCCGTGAGGCCAGCCAAGACTCACCCGTGAGGCCAGCCAAGACTCACCCGTGAGGCCAGCCAAGACTCACCCGTGAGGCCAGCCAAGACTCACCCGTGAGGCCAGCCAAGACTCACCCGTGAGGCCAGCCAAGACTCACCCGTGAGGCCAGCCAAGACTCACCCGTGAGGCCAGCCAAGACTCACCCGTGAGGCCAGCCAAGACTCACCCGTGAGGCCAGCCAAGACTCACCCGTGAGGCCAGCCAAGACTCACCCGTGAGGCCAGCCAAGACTCACCCGTGAGGCCAGCCAAGACTCACCCGTGAGGCCAGCCAAGACTCACCCGTGAGGCCAGCCAAGACTCACCCGTGAGGCCAGCCAAGACTCACCCGTGAGGCCAGCCAAGACTCACCCGTGAGGCCAGCCAAGACTCACCCGTGAGGCCAGCCAAGACTCACCCGTGAGGCCAGCCAAGACTCACCCGTGAGGCCAGCCAAGACTCACCCGTGAGGCCAGCCAAGACTCACCCGTGAGGCCAGCCAAGACTCACCCGTGAGGCCAGCCAAGACTCACCCGTGAGGCCAGCCAAGACTCACCCGTGAGGCCAGCCAAGACTCACCCGTGAGGCCAGCCAAGACTCACCCGTGAGGCCAGCCAAGACTCACCCGTGAGGCCAGCCAAGACTCACCCGTGAGGCCAGCCAAGACTCACCCGTGAGGCCAGCCAAGACTCACCCGTGAGGCCAGCCAAGACTCACCCGTGAGGCCAGCCAAGACTCACCCGTNCTAGACTACCGTACGCCTAGACTACCGTACGTCTAGACTACCGTACGCCTAGACTACCGTACGCCTAGACTACCGTACGTCTAGACTACCGTACGCCTAGACTATCGTACGTCTCACCGGCAAACACAGATGTGATGGCGGCGATGAGGAAGGAGATCACCACAGCGGGGCCAGCGATGTGTTGTGCAACATCGCCTGTCAAACATCATCGATATGAACCAAACATCTAGCAAACGTTTGACATGGACATAAAAGGTTTGAAATCAACGTCAAACGTCTGGCATCAACATCCAACATCTGACATCAAGATTAAACGTCTGGCATCAACATCAAATGTCAGTAATCAACATCAACTGTCTGTCAACAATGAGAGACAATAAAAAACTGCTAGGTATACCACTACATTGATTGATTGCTATAGTATTAATAGCAAGTATCTCAAGTTTTTTGAAGGATGAATGTTAAAATCTGAGGCTGCTGTGAGAGATCAGCCTGCACTTGTCAATAAGAAGATAACAGCTTTGACATTAGTTGAGCAAGGTTACGTAAATTTCTGACCATAAGCGTTATCATGATGAACTCATAATTCTGTCATGTGATATGCATGGGACTTGCCAACTCATATTAGTGATAGTAAGATTTCTGCAATGACTGGACGAATATATGGTAGATATGGAGGTAGGTAATTGATTCTTTTAATTAATTTGAAGAAAAAAATAGCTAAACAATCTAAGAACTACTAATTCCAGGTGATAATTTTCCTGGATTTGTCATTGAAAGATATTTAAATAAAAAACAAATTATTAAAAATTTACTTGGACAAACTTGAGCATCTTGGGACTGGAGCTAAAAAATTTACAGGTAAATTCTGTTGTTAATTAGGTCATTAAGTAATTTAAAAACATCATTAATTAGTAGGTAAGAAGAAGCTGCAGACAATTAGTCCTAATGAACTGGCCATATCAGCACAATAATAACCAAAAAAATAATAGTTAGATGCCCTTGACAGGCCCATGAGTGTTATCACTCTCAAACACAAACAACCCCAACTGATAAGACCCTTATCTTAATGTCTGCACTTCTCGCACTTCATAACAGTAGCAAGATAGACATGGCTGATAACATTTGGTAGTCATTGGAAATACTTTTATGGAAATTAGAGCAAAATTTATTGGGATTTTTATGAAATTTTATTGATTGTGATTTTGTAACAAAGTGCTCTAGTTTGACCCATGCAAGAGATACAAGAGACTTAGCTGAATTTTCCCCAAGATCTACCTATCAGAGACCATTTTATCTTTTATCAGTTCCCCAAAGCTCATGGGAAAGTCCATTACAAACATAATTAGATATATAAAAAAATGCCCAGTATATATTTCAACAGATTAACACAATGAAACATAAAACAAGACAATTTTCATGCAAGTATGCCATTAGACAGTAAATGCATATGATCAGATATATCGGTAACTAGTTAAAAGAGTATACATGCAAACTCACATTTTTATAACGTCAAGCACACATAACATTCAAGAGTTGATACTCAATGATGCTAATAACCATTAACCCAAATAGGCAATGTTATCTAAGAAGCAAACACACTGATAGATGGTAAATGGTTTATAATTTCATCACATATACATAAATTGTATAAATTGATATATATATATATATATATATATATAGATGAATATATATAAAATGGAACTTACCAGCAAGGATGTAAAATCCAACTCCAATGGTGGTACCAATGCCCAAAGTGGTAAGGTCAAGGAGACCGAGCACCCGAGGCAGTGGAGCTGAATCATAATTTATAATTTTGCGACGTCCGAGCGTTGCTAGAGTGACTTTAACCATGGTGACTTCTTGTTTTTTATCCTAATTAGCCCATCAATAAAATTATAAATTTTAAGTAAACTTTTTGAATCTTGCTAGTAGCCTTGAATTTTAAAATTTAGTTGCAAGATTATTCTTCTCACAGGAATAAGACAACATGAAATGGAAAATTATAAATATAATTTACGGGAAAATTTTAATGACAAGATTAATACTACTATATCAAGATACACAAAGTTAATTATTAATAATAAGTACTGGTACTAATATTCTTCAAAGCAAAATTTTTCCATCATTTTCAGTTCAAATGTGTTATTTTGATGATCAAATGTAGAGAAGTTTATCCTGGAGTTGTCTTTGTCTGATACAAATACAAGACAAAAAATAAAACGTGAACATTATGAAAAAATTTTGAAATATGTTCTATTTATAAAGCATTTTATTCATATGAAATCCACAACATAAAAAATGCACTCTAATCCTAATTACTTCTTTTTTTTCAGTTCAAGGTAACAATGCAAGTTTTGTCAAAATTGGATAAGCTTTAAACTGATAATTTTGGAACTCTTGTGTTTCTTAAAACAAACCAAAATGAGAAAATGAGTTAGATTACTTCCACACAGATCATTTTTGTATGGAAATTGATTTATAAAAACGGTCTGATAAGACAGAAAAAACAATAAAGACCTATTTTCTAGTAATTTATTTAATTTGACTTTTAATTCAAGCTCACTAAATATAATACCATATTAGGAATACTGAAAATATCAAACATGAAAATGATTGCTATTTTTCAAATTGTAACTGAAAATTAGCCACATTACTTAAAGTTAACAAATCGTATTAGGTTAGTTTACATCCTAATATAATGATATCAAGATTTTAGTTAAACCATGGAACTTTGGTGCCAATTTGGAATATCAAACAGAAGTTTCATAAAATTGCAGGCAAAAATGATACCTTTGCAAATGATTTTCAAAAATTGTGGCTGAAATAGGCCATTTTTCTTATTCTACATTGGAGCAATTGTAAAAAAGCTATAAGAAAGGGTTAAATTTGCCAAATTTATTTGCTAGATGTCAAATTTGCAGGCTGCTTATGCCTTATGTCCAATTTACCGTTTAGGCTTGGGAGGCATTCAAGCTGGTTATTATAGATAATTTCAATAGTTTGTTACTTTCTATGGCCCTTTTCAAATTTCTTCATGGAATACTAAGAAAAACAGGTCTCAATTTTGCTGGTAATATTTAAAAAATACCAATGAAACTCTCGATTTTACATGCAATTTTTGAAAAATTTTGCTTGATACTCCAGATTGAGTAGTGATCAGCGCCATCAGCCCAATGTTGGCAATATGAACATCAAAGATTGACCTAACTGAGGCTAACTCCATATGACCATTTTTGTATTTTGCTATGAGCAGGTAATTATTTAAATAATTCAAAAAACCTATAAAATAAGATCACTAAAGTTACATTTTAAAATATTAGGCTTCATAGTCAACTGAAAATTTTAAATTATTTCTAAAAGTTCTGATTTGAATGGCCTATAATGATAATCACTGCTTAGTTACTATGAAGATAACACTTTAACCAAATTCTGGAATCAAATTACTATGATTAAAAAACACAACTGGTAATCTATTTACTTAAGAACTCTTGAATATACTATAAATACATTATGAGTACAGCAAGTTTTGCTTATGAAACAGGAATTAAAATTAGTCAAGTTGAAATTACAACAAAATGTAATAATTGGATTAAAGAGACCGAATCAAATTTAATAACCTAAATTTCTATAAGCATGCTCACTTGGATACAAAATTGACAAATTCATCCTTTACATTCCGCCCAACTTTCCTCAACATTAATTTAATTTTTGGAAGATTTTCCGTCTTCTTTACAGCCAACTGACTACTGAAAGTTAGGTACGAGACAGAGACAACGTCATGAAACTGAATTATTATATACTGAATGGCACAAGCTCAGGGCAAAACATCGCAATATTAGCTTCAATTTGTTGAATCGACAAAAGAAATTCGAGAATTAGCTAATGCTTCATTTTTTTGAACAGTAAGCAAATCGTGACGCAATTTTCATAAGAAACTTCCCCAGTCAACAGGTGACAGCTGTTGCCCTTTGAACCTTTTTTCATGCTTCCGTTGGCACGGAAAATTCCAACTTGATAAAATTACTAACGGTGGTGTGGAATAAATATTAACTAGGATAAGTTCATTGCAATTGAAATTATTTGGTAAAGATAGAGCTATTTCCGATTGAAATTATTCTTTATTTCGATTAAGCATCAATTGAATGGCTCTGGGAATAAAGTTCATTCAACCAATACCGTTTGAAAAACGCTTATCCTTCAGCCTTTAAAAATGTCAACGAATTCATTTTCCTAAACTGATTACAACGTTGAATACAACAAAAATAAAACCGCTCATGGCTGGACAGGTTAGACATAGAAAGAAAAATCATTTACCATTTAAACAACTTATTTCTGACAACGGAATATCATGTCCATCAGATGTAAAATGCAACCCTCCACGAATTAACAACAATCAGACTCGTTTTTCTTCAATATATACATATTTTTGTTATTATACAAATCACTTTAACGTACATATAAAAATAATTAATGGTTGATTGTGAGACGAACGTCTAGCCATGATAATTACTCGCAAAGAAATGCGTCGTAGGTGACCAGGCCCTGAAGATGCCTCGTATCCGAATATTCAGGGCAACACTTGGCTTATCAGATAAGAACAAAAAGCTAGTCGCATGCCGGGGCACAGACCGAGACAGATTAATAGTAAAGCGAACTATATTTTCATAGTGGTCAACAAGACGCACTTTCACCCTATGTTGTTGATTGCGCAACTACAGGGCATTCTTAATAGAATAGAATAGAATGGAATAGAATAGAATAGAATAGAATAGAATAGAATAGAATAGAATAGAATAGAATAGAATAGAATAGAATGGAATAGAATAGAATAGAATAGAATAGAATAGAATAGAATAGAATAGAATAGAATAGAATAGAATAGAATAGAATAGAATAGAATATGGCATTTTAAGACTGAACATATGCTCCTGCATAGCTTCGTCTAGTCTGTTCTTGAAGGCGTTCATACTCGGGGCGTCAACGATGCTAATGCAAGACTTTATAAGAAAAGAAAACGTTCTCTAAATTCATCAGATTTTCGTAAAAACGTTTCGGAGACCAGCTCCATCATCAGTTCCAAAACGTTTTCATGAACATATGGTGAACTTGCTTGACGTTTTTTTGTCACTTCTAAGTTCTTGGTTAATTTGCAAACTTCTCATGAAAGAACCTATATATTTCACATTCACTAGTGCCGTGTGTTCTACTCCGCAGCATGGTTAAATAATTATTGTATTTATTGTAATTATCATATTATTATTGTATAGATATTAAATATTATATATTATCATAAGCATCAAGCACCAACAGAAGGATGAAAAGGTAAGAGAGAAGGAGGATGGAAAGAACGAGCGCAGGGATAGAATAAGAAGAAATGTGGGAGAGAGGGTGGAAGGAATAAGCGAATGGATGAAATAAAAAGGTATGTGGGAAAGGTAGAAAGGGAAAGGACGGACGAAGGATTGAAACAAGAAGGAATGTGGGAGGTATGGAGCTACGCAACAGATGTCGTGACGACAAAATTCCTCCCGTTATCCTGAACAGTTGAGCAAGCAACCGTTACGAGCTGTAACGAGGACTGTAATGAGCTCTTAACGGAACTTTAAAGGTTTATAACGTTAATAATAAATGACAGTTGGTTAGTGGTGGTAACTAGTGACAGTGCTGTGTGTGGCGGTAACTAGTGACAGCGCTGTGTATGGTGGTAACTAGTGACAGCGCTGTGTGTGGCGGTAACTAGTGACAGCGCTGTGTGTGGTGGTAACTAGTGACAGCGCTGTGTGTGGCGGTAACTAGTGACAGAGCTGTGTGTGGCAGTAACTGGTGACGGCGTTGTATGTGGTGGTAACTAGTGACAGCGCTGTGTGTGGTGGTAACTAGTGACAGCGCTGTGCGTGGCGGTAACTAATGACAGCGCTGTGTGTGACTGTAACTAGTGACAGCGCTGTGTGTGGCAGTAAATAGTGATAGCGCTGTGTGGCGGTAACTAGTGACAGCGCTGTGTGGGGCAGTAAATAGTGACAGCGCTGTGTGTGGCGGTAACTAGTGACAGCGCTGTGTGGGGCAGTGATAGCGCTGTGTGGCGGTAACTAGTGACAGCGCTGTGTGGGGCAGTAAATAGTGACAGCGCTGTGTGTGGCGGTAACTAGTGACAGCGCTGTGTGGCGGTAACTAGTGACAGCGCTGTGTGTGGCGGTAACTAGTGACAGCGCTGTGTGTGGCAGTAAATAGTGATAGCGCTGTGTGGTGGTAACTAGTGACACCTAATCTTTAAAAATAGCGAAATTTGAGTTGAATAATTCGGACATTTGATATTTACGTAAACATAAATTTCTTCATCGCTAACAACCGGAAATAAATAATCATAATCTCAATTGTCTTCCACTCTGCCGGTATCCGTGATACGATACTTCAAGTGGTACAGGGAATTTGTGACGCGATAAGATCACGAGGAAACTTTATCTTTTCTACGCGTAATTAACGTGGGAACGGTACCTGGGATACCCATGTATAGTTAACAACGGAGAGGTATCTGTGATACGCGCAATTCGTGGAGGGATAGTATCTGTGATATACGCGCAATTCGTGGAGGGATGGTATCTGTGATACGCACAATTCGTAGAGGGATGGTATCTGTGATACGCGCAATTCGTTAATGAACGGTATCTGTGATACGCACAATTCGTGGAGGGATGGTATTTGTGATACGCACAATTCGTGGAGGGATGGTATCTGTGATACGCGCAATTCGTTAATGAACGGTATCTGTGATACGCACAATTCGTCAACGAACGGTATCTGGGATACGCGAAATTCGTAGAGGGATGGTATCTGTGATACGCACAATTCGTGGAGGGATGGTATCTGTGATACGTGCAATTCGTAGAGGGATGGTATCTGTGATACGCGCAATTAGCCAAGGAACGGTATCTGGGATACGCGCAATTCGTAGAGGAACGGTATCATAAGATAAGCATAATTCTCAACATGAGCGTAATTCACGCAGAAATGTTAACTAAAATCAGGTAACAGTAATTGTAAAACTGGTAATTTATCGAGGAATGGTTCCCGTCAACATTTTTTCTGTGGTAGCAGGTTAGCCAAGCGTTGCTCAACGCTCTTCTAGCATAGATATTCAATTTAACTCTAGATTCTAGTTTTTGACTACTGTAAAAATAATTAAATTTAATTTAAATCCACGTTTCTATATTTAGATGCCACACTCATTGTTCCGTTATATATGTGATTCTGTCATTGCAAACATATTGCGGGTCCAGTAATACATCTGTATGGTATGTAATGCGTATACGTTCGAATAGCCCCCGGATATTGACGATGCCGGACATACAAATCGCACATATAACAACAAAAAAAAAACTTTTTAAAATTAAATGGCGCAATTCGCTTGTTTTTTTCAAGTTCTATTAAAGACAAAATTTAAAATCAAAATGCTCTCTCTGGTCATGAATCGAACTTGCATAAAAACCAAAAGTTGACATTTATACGCAAGATTCTAGCGGTATCCGTGCTACGTGCTCACACGTGCGCGCCGTATTTAGACACGCACACGGCCACTCACCCCGCGACGTCCAGTCGGCGATCATACCTGCTGGTGCGGCGTCAAGTTGAACACGGAGTGTGTGTTTTTTTTTTAATATTTTTAGCATCAAAAGCGTGCATAATTTTGAAAGCATATTTACATGAATTCTCATGCGACTTTTAGACAGAGAGTGATAATATATTCCCTGTGATTCAAATTGTTTGAAACGTGCATTCAGATATAGGTACTTTTTATAATATAGTGTTCAAGAGCCATGGGCAATGCATAAAGAAAACTGCAGCTAGACTTATATAAAAGTAAAAAACAGAGTATGCATTCATCATCACTTGGTTTGGACTTTGTATCACCACCGTTATTGTCAAGTTCACTACTGAGGTCCCTTGTCAGCAGTAGTTTGGAATTTCCCCCACTAGGTGCTTAAAATAATTGGTATAATAAACTGGAGAGAGCACTTTACTCGATGAAAACAATCCCAAAAACTAAAGCAGGAAAAATTGAAAATTTGTATACAAAAACGAAAACATATACGTTGTCTTGTCACTATAAACTATATAAATAAAAAAGTCATTTTTGCAGTCAAGATGCAGATCAATTGGAAATGAAACTGAAGGAGAAAACTTAAGAAAAGAAGCCAAATTTGATTTCCTTAGTTTTCAGTCATTTTACCATGATTCGGAGGCTCTTTTGCTCAAGATGTTCCGTAAGGCATTCCATTCTCTCAGCTTGGATCATTCTGTGCACGTTCGTCTTACTGCACCGAGTTGCTAATATTTCAGTGTCCCCTCAAAAATATGATCATCCCAAAGAAAATTTTTATGGCACAAACTATAGCGAAAAAGAAATGGTTGGAAATCCGTTCGGTGTTCAAGTGAACGAAACCACCATGAAGTACTTAGACGCTACCATAAATCAACCGAGCAAATGTGGCAAAGAAACATTGTTTTTGATGGCGGTGATTTCGAGTCCCATTAACTTTCAACAAAGAAAATCAATCCGAAAACTTTGGAGGAGGCCAACACAAGTTTTTGGTTCAGGAGGAACCCTACTATTTTTCTTAGGTAAAACCACGTCCACAAAAGTGCAATTCCGAATTGAAAAAGAATCTGCTAAAAACAAAGATATTGTACAGTTTGATATTATGGATGATTATACAAAACTCACAACTAAAAGCATCAATATGATGCATTGGTTTACCGTGTACTGTAGAGACGCGCGATGGTACGTCAAATCTGCTGACGACGTCTTCTGGAATATTCCCGTTCTGAATTCTTTATTGTCGGCAGGAAACCAACACAGACTTGTTGAGAAGTTATCAAAATCGAACTTCAAACTTTTCGAGAAGAAAGTACATTATTGTAATCATTATTTAGTGGAAAACCCATACGAAAGATCACCTGAAATTAAATCCGAACGCAGGGCAAGTGATCATGGAAACCAATCGTTAATAAATAACAACGCGGAAATTATTTGCGCCAAGACGCAGGGCACGCGAGTTTGTCGGTACGAGGATCGCGATAGCTGTGACCCAAGATCCGTGATGACGAAGTACGAGTATCCCTACGACGAGTACCCTCGTCACTGCCGTGGGTCTGGGTACGTGTTGAGGAGTCACGTCGTTGAGGAATTGGTCAAAAAAGATGCACTGATTCGTACGTCACGACGCTTACGAATGGAGGACGTGTACGTCACTGGGATACTGACGCAGGGAGCGGGATTCATTGAGCTCGACATGGCGTGAGTACCTTCATGAAATATATTTTAGTAATATTTATGCATCATTTTTTTAACTCATTATTTTTATATGTTTAGCGAACTATCTATATCATTTAGGGTTGTTGTTCAAGCTTATATCTTTAATTCGTATACTCCTAGATTTGGTAATTTGTACCCTAACGTAACTGACGGGACATTTCGGTCCCAAGCCTCTAGGTACGAATAGCATTAAAGACGGTGAATGCATTCCGAGATCAAATTGTTGAAAAACTCAGTTAGTAATTAATTATCAGCCATGTTTATGGATTAAAACCTTTGCATTTTCCCTCTAGTCAGGATAGAGCCCGCTTTCTAAGAATACATATTTATTAGTTCTCAACTCCTTCCTCCCCGTTCCTACCAACCGATCACCCTAACGCCAACATAAAATAATAAAAATGTAATATTTGCTGCACCTACAGGAACCTGACCACGACGACCCGCAGCTGCCGGCACGACGGGCGCCGCCCAACGCGCGCCTCACGCACGGTCGTGAGGCGCAAGTGAGGCCATCGTACGCCTCCGGAGCTCTGAGGCGCGGGACCACCTCACGACGGCCTCCCGACCACCTCACGACGGCCTCCTGACCACCTCACGACGGCCTCCTGACCACATCACGACGGCCTCCCGACCACCTCACGACGGCCTCCCGACCACCTCACGACGGCTTTCCGACCACCTCACGACGGCCTTCCGACCACCTCACGACGGCCTCCCGACTACCTCACGACGGCCTCACAACTTTTTCACGACCACCTTTCAATTAACAAAATAAATATTTGATCTAGAATAATCAGCTTCAATACAATTGCAGGTGATTCACTTCCTTATCTCAACTTTGCTGGGATCCACTATCCGACAAACAACTGTGGCTGATCCCCCCCCTTCATCTCAACCCCCTTCATCTCAACCCCCTTCATCTCAACCCCCTAGCCACGTAGTAGGTACAGTATTTGTCAGCCCTGCACATCGAGTGACATACCGTGACCATAACGTGCACGGTATATGGCGCACGAGATACAGCTACAGATACAGCACGAGATACCGTGCGAGATACCGCTCAAGATACCATTCAAGATACTGTATGAGATACCGCATGATACAGCTACAGATACCGACCGAGATACCGTGCGAGATACCGCTCAAGATACCGCTCAAGACACTGTATGACGAGATACCGCATGACACAGCTCAAGATACCGTATGAGATACCGTGTGAGATACCGCTCAAGATACCGATCAAGATCCCACACGAAGTATCTTCAGGACTGATCCCCTAACAAAATTCGTAGATCGCCAAGGCTTTGGCGAATAGTCACTACACTCGGCGCAAAGTTATTCTGCGTCTGCTTGGCCACCTGATCGAAATCAGTTTCTGGTCAAAGTTTACTATCCGACTTTAGAGTCGCCTAAAAGTATGACAAGGGTTGATCGAGCTGAGTCATACCGAGCTAGCAAGCTGCCCAGAGGCAGCCCTTCGAACCCTGAGCCGAAGCGGACATAGAGAAGCTGATTTACGTGCTCCCTGAGTCCTATAGGCGGCCCTAATGCAGGGTCGCGCATGCCTCTAAATTTTGTTAGGAGAAGGATGCAATCAAAGGCATGTCAGAAGAGCATTTACTTGAATGTAATAATAAATTTTCTAGCTACATAGTTGACTACCACGACATCTACTTCTACTATAGGTACGTGACCCAAGGGTAGTCCCTGATTGTTGTAGAATTAGGTGGTATATCAAGAGTCCTATATTATATATATAGCCCTATATGAAATCTAGAGTCCTATATGATAGGTACAGTCTGCGAGACCAGGTCTAGAACAACAGATTTTCCACTAGGTTTAGACATCTCAGGTAGAAAGACAACGTTTCATCAGTGATAACAACATCGAAAACATCGTCTGATATGCGAAAAAATTAAACCTAACATTTATAAACGTATCTATATTTATATAAATATATATATATAGTGTACCAGGAATTAGCGGGTGAGGTTGAGAGTGCCTATACGTAATGAGGTTGAGAATGTTTAATATATACTAGGAGCATAAGTTGAAAACAACTTATTACGAGTTGAAGAAGCTGTGGTCCAGCGAACGCATTAATGCTGCACCGCAGCATCTCCACAAATGCTTACACAAGATTAAAATATTAAGCAAATATTAATCCCATCAGTAATCAATACAAAATGAATATAGTCTCCTTAAACATTATAGAAACGAAAAGAAGTTTCCAATATTACAGCAAATATTTCGATTGCGTCGGCTATTATTTGGGCTGTGTCGGCTATTATTTAGGCTGTGTCGGCTATTATTTTGGTCCTGTCGGCTATTATTTTGGTTGTGTCGGCTATTATTTTGGCTGTGTCGGCTATTATTTAGGCTGAGTCGGCTATTATTTCGATTGATTAGGCTATTACGAGTAAACGGCCATTTTTTAAGTCACATTTCATTGCCGGAAATAAGTTACTAATAATAACACACTTACTGAAAAAATATATCCTGTAAATATAAATGCTTTAAATTTTTACACTGTTAATTTGTTTACCGTAATATAAGTAGAGAATTTTACCGTCATACCTTGTTTTATTATTCAGCCCATGCAGCAAAATATGAAAGTCATGTTCACCATGCAGCACAATGTAGAAGTCATGTTCACCATGCAGCACAATGTAGAGGTCATGTTCACCATGCAGCACAATGTCACCATGCAGCACAATGTGAAGGTCATGTTCACCATGCAGCACAATGTAGAGGTCATGTTCACCATGCAGCACAATGTAGAGGTCATGTTCACCATGCAGCACAATGTGAAGGTCATGTTCACCATGCACAACATGAGCTCTGATACACTCATAATCCTACCAAACTGCGTCAGAATGACACACTCAAGGGCTCACAATGCATCGCCATTTAGAAAAAATTTCACTGATTTTTTTGAGTGTGAGATGTCACAATTACATTGCAGCACAACACTATAATTATTGTCACGTCAGGAAATATAAAAAGTGATTATTATTAAAATAATAACTTTCATTAAAAATTGAAATTAATACAATAATAAATTTTGCCCACTCATGGGCCAATGAACTTAAATAAATTGCTTGTAAAGTTATCTGACGTTAAATCAACATTGAATTAAACGTTTTTACGGGAAATAAACGTTAATTAAAGGCTGTTTATAAACGTCATTTGACTGATGGGAAGGTTTTAAAAGTTAAATAACTAATTACAAAGGTTATAGAAGCAGAACATGCGGTGCCCCACAGCACGCTATAAGCTCATTTGAAATTGTAACTTCACAGTAACTTCAAACTAACGTCGCTGTAACGTCAGTGCAACGTCAAGTTAGAGACATTGTTACGTCATTGTTAATTTTTTTATCTAATAAACGTCAAGGTGCCTATTGCGTAGTAAGCACATAGGCGAGTGTCTAGTATACACCTAGGCGTGTCTCTAGTACACACCTATAGGTGTGTCTCTAGTCCACACCTATAGGCGTGTCTCTAGTACACACCTATAGGTGTGTCTCTAGTACACACCTAGGCGTGTCTCTAGTACACACCTAGGTGTGTCTCTAGTACACACCTATAGGTGTGTCTCTAGTACACACCTATAGGTGTGTCTCTAGTACACACCTATAGGTGTGTCTCTAGGACACATAATATATAAAAGGTTGAGCGGATATATCATCTAAAAGGTTAAATAGAAAAGTTAATCGGGAACCAACACCTTTCAGCCTACCAAGGGAGTAAATAATAATATTAAGCCTAATCGTGGTAATAATAATAATATTAATATTATTAATAATAAATGACCTGCATCTTATATAGGTATTTATATGATTAGTCAGCTTAAATCGCATTCTCAGCAAGCATACGAAAAGTAGAGATAATGAACATTATATGCACTATTCCCTCGTTGAAAAAGCTTTCAATAAAGATATAATTAATTTACTAGGCTTTTTTTTGCTTTAAAAATGATTCGCAACTTATATAGGCCTTGATAGAGAAAAAATTCAGTGAAGCAGAAATGAAGACCGATTGCCAATATTCAGGTAACGTTGAATGATGTTGATAACTACATCGAAATAATTAATTATAATAATTATAACAGTTATAATTATAATTAATTAATAATAATTAATTTACGCAGACTTCGTTTCGAAATAAATAAATTACGCTGACTACGTAGAAAATCATTAAATTACCCCGACTGTGTAACAAAATAATTAATAATTACTAGGTTCAAGTTGAGTTTATTTAGATGATGTAGAAGTCACACGGTAGAGATCACAGCTGAGTTAGAAAAATGATTGCGGATCAAATAAGTGACTATGACATAGTTGTGCTGCACCTGCCTATCGTGAGTGCCATGCTACATATACCAGTTTAAAAATACATTCCTTCACATTAGATACCAATACTAATACCTGAAATACTCCACGGGTATTGCGAGTAATTACGAGAGGGTCGGTAACTGTCCGGTATCTGACAGGCCATCATCACAGAGGGGAGATGGAGGCTCCTCGGTCAAATGTCTAACATGATCTATTATAAAATAAAACGTAGAGAAATATTTTGTAACTTTAAGATTGTATGTTCAATGACGGCAGTAATTATGTTCAAAGTAGGCTATAATATTCAAGTGCACTACGTCCATTTATTCTTCTCAAGTCCCCTCTCTTCCCCTCAAAACCCTTCTCTTCCCCTTAAAACCCCTCTCTTCCCCTCAAGTCCCGTCTCTTCCCCTCAAAACCCCTATTTCCCATCATATCCTCTCTCTTCCCCTTAAAACCCCTCTCTTCCCCTCAAGTCCCCTCTCTTCCCCTCAAAACCCCTCTCTTCCCCTTAAAACCCCTCTCTTCCCCTCAAGTCCCGTCTCTTCCCCTCAAACCCCTATTTCCCATCATATCCCCTCTCTTCCCTTTAAAACCCCTATCTTCCCCTCAAGTCCCCTCTCATGCCATCAAGTCCCCTCTCATCCCATCAAGTCCACTATTGATGGGAAGAGAGTCCCCCTAAAAACCACTCTCTTCCCCTAAAGTCCCTTCTCCATTCCCCTAAAGTCCCTTACCATTATTATCATTAGGAAGTTACCACTATTACCATTAGGTAGTTACCACTATTACCATTAGGTAGTTAATATTATTACCATTAGGTACTTACCACTAGGTCCGCAATGGTAGCCATGGTGCGGGACTGAATGCTCTAGATTGATTACATATAACGGAGCCAACTTCACGAAAGTTCTTATCAAGATTTTCATACGTTTTTCATTGAAGATTCTTACTGGCGTAGGTGCCGTGCCGTGCGGTAAATATATAATTTGAAATAATCACATTTTTGGAGTAAGATCTATTGAAAGAAAATTGCTTTTTGCTGCAAAAAAGTAAGGTAAAATAAAACACATTAACACATGAAAAAGAATAATGACGAGGCAAACAAAAAAGAACGTATTACAACCTTGCGTTATTTACCTAATATACACATAGGAATGTACGTTATATACTCATATAACGTACTATAACTTAACAAAACAATAGCGAAAAACTGCAGAAAATATTTTATAACTTCCAGCCACATTTTGGCGCGTGACTCGTAACAGAAAAACAGACAACCGTCGGCTTCTGTTTCCGCTATAATAAAAAACTACATTTAATGGGGACCAACAGGTTACTACAAACAGGAAACTATAACAGAATTGAAACAGAAGAAACAGCAACGCTTGCATGCACAAACTTGCAGTGCACTTTACAAAATACATTTTATTTAACAGTGGAATTTATCAAGATATCGTGACATAATTAAAGTAGATTTAATCACAATTATGTTATTAAATCAAATAAAATTAATCACAATTTTGTGATAAAACAAAAATAAAATTAATCATGATTTTTTGTTTAAAAGCAAAGTAAATTTAATCCCAAATCTTTGCGTAAATCTATTCTGCATGGGAAAACACTGCATTTTATTTTTCACGGTCCCGGCAGCTTGAATTATCTTCTTATTTATTAAGATAATCATCGCGATCGACAATGAGTATGAATATCAATTATGATGAAAATACCCACGTGACCACACTGCATTCACTACATAAATAAAATGTTCATAATACAACTCATATAATAAGGAATAGAAAAGATTTCCTTTGCATATTAATACATGGATATGATCTCTATCACATATTAGATACAAATAATTTTCTCGCTAAATATTACAGAGAAAAAAATTTCCCCGTATAATATTAAATAGACAAAACCATATGCCTCATAATATACAGATTATTGTTTACATGTGTGAAGGGAATGAGGGCATGTGTGAGGGGAATGAGGGCATGTGTGAGGGGAATGAGGGCATGTGTGAGGGGAATGAGGGCATGTGTGAGGGGAATGAGGGCATGTGTGAGGGGAATGAAGGAAGGCCATATATCACTTATTTCGAAAAAGATTGCCTTTAAATACATACATACAAATATCAATAAAGAGAAATATTTCTTTAGATATATTCTTATAAAATATTACATGAATAAATAACAGGAGTTGCACAAACCGATTTTATCACCTAAACTACCGACACCTTCATCATTCAGTAGAAGTGAAATCATTAGAAAAAAAATATTCACACATCCTTTCAAACTATCACCTAATCTTTACATAATGATTAATTATACAAACTATCATAAAAACTTTATATAATGATTTGCAAGGAGAAAAAGGCTGAGGATACCACTAAAGTTAATATTGCAGTTGAACATCAACCTTTACTGATATGACGTATCTACATATCTACGAGTAGACGCAGCATCTACGTATCTACGAGTAGACGCAACATCTACGTATCTACGAGTAGATGCAGCATCTACGTATCTACAAGTAGATGCAGCATCTACGTATCTACGAGTAGACGCAGCATCTACGTATCTACGAGTAGACGCAGCATCTACGTATCTACAAGTAGACGCAGCATCTACGTATCTACGAGTAGACGAAGGATCTACATCAAAACTTATTATTAGTTTGGAACTTCAATTGTTAGGGAATTTCTAGGAAAATGCTATATCCTAGATAAGGTGAATACGATAATACACTAGAAAAATGTGAATACGACAATTTCATAGAAAAATGTGAATTAGACATTCCTCTAGAAAAATATGAATAAAACTTTTTGATAGAAATTGTGAGAAAGAACATTTTCAAGACAAGTGTCTTACTCACAATTGGAAAACTTACCCTAGCACGATCGTGACGTAAATAAGTTACCCTTACACGGCCCATAAGCAAATAAGTTACCCTATATGACCCCGCTGTCGAAAACATACATTAAAATGACCCTGACGTAAATAAGTTACCCTAAAGTGAATCCCAACGAAAATAATTCCCTCAAATGACTTAAACTTAAATGTGTTAAAATAATGTAAATAAGTTACCCTAACGTAAATAAGTTACCCTAACGTAAATAAGTTACCATAAGAAACTGTAAATAAAAACCTATACCGCACAAAAAACCTCCTGCCCGAGGCGCGATTATAATTCTTCTTCATTTTCTAAATTCATCATAACATTATTCATCATTAAATTCAAGTACATCACAGATACGATCAGAACCTCACGTTCTTTACCCTCTTGCCAAGCATGAGTAAATGATAGCATTTGAGTAATATTCAGATATTCGGTTATTATTAATTCGATTATCTTTACTTCTTCTTAATGGATAATCTCGTCCAGCAAAGATAGCAACACGAATGATTGTGATGATATTGTGATGATATTCAGCCCCCAGCGTCACGATAAATGGTGATAAGATATAGTGATGAGGGATGATAGGAGCAGCACGTATCGGCGCCCCTACAGTTACGCGCATATTTATTGGCAACATTCAACTCCAAATTTAAATATTACACCTATGTTCAAGATACTGATGAAATATTAGTGTGCATGTATTAAAATGCTAGCCTGTAATCGTGTCAATTAATTTCGTACCTTAAAAATATATTATTCATTTAATATTTTCAGGTTTATCTTATTTTGTAAATTGATTATTATTTTCCGCGTGCAAAATTAATGGCAACCTTTACATAAAATCAATTTAACTCATCATTGTTGATCAAGAATATTCTAGGTTGATCTGAGGATGACTCTACAACATTGCAAAACATTCCAAAACACTATGTGCCTGTACTATAAACTTATACGCCAAGTTTGGGCTTGCTCAGTTAGTCAATGGAAGCAGTCGTATAAACACATCTCCAAAATTTTCTAAATTCAATTATGGCGAAGACTTCTGAATACTCACAGGACATAAGGAAGTGTGTAGTTGAACTACACAACAAAGGAAATGGATATCGAAAAATATGATCAACTCTGAATGTTCCAATTTCATCTGTAAAGAATATTATTGTCAAGTTCAGGAATGATGGGACCACTGTTAATCGAGCACGAACCGGTCGTAATCGAAAATTAACTGAAAGAGATGTGAGTTCCTGCATGCAAATAGTAAATAAAGACCCGAAGATCACTTAAATTCCAAGGAATTGCAATCACATCTGGCTAGTACTATAAAAACTGTGGATGTGTCAACAGTGCGACGCTACCTGGACCGTGAGGGCCTTCACGGGCGTGTACCAAGGATGAAGCCACTGTTGAAGCCAATTCACAAGGAGAAGCGTTTGGAGTTCGCCAGGAAGCACATCAATGCTCAATAATATATTGTGGTCGGACGAGACAAAGCTTGAACTTTTTGGTGTGAATGACAACCGCTTTGTATGGAGGAAATCTGGTGATGCTCTGCTGGAAAAGAACACTCTACCTACTGTGAAGCATGGTGGTGGGTCCATCATGTTGTGGGGATGCTTTGCTGCTGCAGGTACTGGGAATACGTATTTCTGTGATAGAGGGCATCATGAATTCTGAAGGATATCAACATATTTTAACTGATAATGTTAAGGCTTGTAGTCAAAATGCAGCGAAGTCTGAGAGCGAGGTTTTCGCGACCATCGTGTAAAATCCTTGATCTGCCCAAAGCTCGGCCAGTCGCTATTCTCGAGCTTGTACTCTTTGTAATATGATATCCTAGCCAGACCCTTCTTCGCGGCAACTGATCGCTTTCAGGTGGCCGAGGAATGGCCAACGGTTGGCTATAACTAATTGGACTAGGCCGACCACTGGCCACGTATTATCCTTCGCCCCCTCATTGACTTCGCCTTTACCATGCCACCCGTCGTGAACTGACAGTTGAGTAATTTACGATGTCTCTTTCCCCTCAAACATTGCACAACGTCTCCATTTGAGCAGCTAGTATGCGGGATTTTCCCTCCGCGTATCTGCAGACTCGATCATAACTATTTTTCGGTAGAAAATATCTACAACAAGGAGGCTGATCAAGGAATGCCGAGTATACCATTCAATGGAGAATAAAAATTACAACCCGTTTACATCTCGAAAAAAGTAAAAAAGTCGCAGACATGATGAAGAATAATATCAAAGTTTCTTGAAATTTCCTCTCATTAAAACTCTTTTAATACAAAGTTTACATATTTTTTGTTACTGGTCGACGCTTATAAATAAATAGCTGGGTAAGTATGGAAAAATCCATATCGCCATCTTATTTGCGAGTGGATTAAAGTCTATCCTAATTAGTGAAGAAACGCATAGGGAAGAGCCGAGCCTGTTCGAAGCCTCCCGGTTCTCAATCAGGGCCTTAAGCAATCGGCAAGAAAACTGCATCTTGGATGGGCATTTGTCTGTCAACAGGATAACGACCCTAAGCAAACAAGCAAATCAACACAGAAATATTTTGCTACACAGAAATTGAGAGTGTTGGAATGGCCTTCCCAAAGCCCAGATTTAAATCCAATTGAAAATTTATGGAGGGAACTCAAGAGGAGTGTTCATAAAAGAAGCCCCAGCAACATCGAAGAATTGAAGACTTTTGCCATGGAAGAGTGGCGCAAGATTCCTACAACATACAAGCCAACATCGTAGAAACATACAAGAAACGTCTGTCCGCTATAATTATTGCCAAGGGAGGTCACACAAAGTATTAATTTAGAGTTGCCAACAATTTATATGCTTTTTTTCAAAATGTTGCCATTACTTTTGCTTTTGGTGTTTTTTCTAATAAATATAAATACAACAAAGATCTAACGTTTTACTATTCGTTATGCACAGTAATTAGATGTTCTTTGATGAATTTAACTGAAAATAAATGCAGAAATTGCAATAAATGCTTCAAATTATTATATTTCTCAAATTAAATATTTTTAAGCGTGTTGCCAATAAAAATGCCCGTAACTGTACATCACACGGTCTTCCTAGGCGCCTCTACATCGCACGGTCGGCCTAGGCGCCCCAGCATCATACGATCGGCCTAGGCGCCCCTGCATCATACGGTCGGCCTAGGCGCCCCTGCATCATACGGTCGTCTCGATGTCGGGCGCCGAGGAGGCAGCGCGGCGCCCCTCACCTGCAGGGGAAAGAGAAGGTATTAATACCAGAACGCAGGTATTGCTGATAATTCTGGTATTAATATCAATACACAGATATTAACATCATCAAACAGGTAATGGTGGTGCGGTATCAGTTTCATTACTCTCGTATTGGTGGCAGTAATATCATTATACCGGTATTTCAAATATTAATAGGAGAATAATGAAAAAGGATTAAAATAGAGAGTCTTATTACAGGGGTTGTTACAGAAGAAACGGTCACAGAAAGTAGGTTCAGAGAGAAAAAAAGTAGAAAATAGGACATCAAAACGCAGGTGATAAGCACTAGATAATGCATCTTTGGGGGTTCGAGTTTATTGAGGGTATAATGAGTGAGGGTAGCTGAATGTGAGCGCTTGACAATCCAATTACGTGGCAGTTAAAGGACAGTCTGGTTATAAAGTACGAAGCCAGTCGGGTTATTACTTTCTATGTCCGCAGAACCAGACAAATCTCCCGTCTCCTATGCAGTAAGTACAAGTCCAGGCGCTCCAGCCCCCCTCAGTAGTACAGCTCTTCCATTCCGCTGATCCTGGACGTGAGGGTTTACTGGACTGCTTCCAATTGCCGCACTTCGCCGAGCGCGAACGGGGTCCAAAGTTAGCAACAGTACTCAAAGAGCGCGATTAAAAGCGCTCTGAAGTGCGTGGTCATCGGTTCCGCTACTCTTGTTCTGTACGTCCGCTGGATCAACCTATCTGTCACCTACCTCTTGCAGTTACAGCCGGTATGCGATCACCTAATTTGACCGAGCTACTCATCAACACCATGAGATCTCGAGTAAGTTGTTTTTCTTCAATTTCTCTTTGTAATCAAGTGGCAGGTAGCGGTGTTCCATCACGACTCCTCAGCCAGTTCAATAGCTAACTCAGAACCTCAAACTTGTTCTCGTTCAACTGTGTGATGTTTGTTCGGGCCAAGTCACATATTGCAGAAACCCCTCGCTATCCACCCTTTCCGTAATTGTTCTCCGTACCCTGATATCGTCTGCGAATGACGATGTAATTGTTTCGATTAGTTCATGAAGTATCTATGTCGGTGTTGTCTTTAATCCCTCCGTTTATTATACAAGTCCCTTTCATATAATGAAGTCTCCTTCATACTAAGGAAAAGTCTCCTGGTCACTAGCATCTAAACATTTTGGACACTTATCAGGGATAATCAATTCATGTGGACATTTGAGTCAGTGGAAATTACATTGGACGACGAACTAGGTTGAATAGATTCTATAGGGATTTTAATAAAATGCAAAACCCCTATAAGTCTTGGTTGCTAAAATTGAGGCGCGTTGCTGAAATGGAAGTAGGCCTATTGCATGAACGAGTCTGGGTGTAGCAATATTTAATGATTACTTCCGACGGTTTCAATTAAAAAAAGTCGTGATGATACTGTCGCGGCGATACCGGCTAGTGTATACTGTATGTGACAGTGAACAGTCGGCGGCTACGAAGCGATAGAAAATTGCCCATTGAGCCGCGGGTGCGTACTGATATTAGTTGGTGTCTGCAGTGGGTGACTGCCTTGAAACTTTCACTAAAGCGTTTCAAATAATTCAATAGTTACGAGTATATTGAAGAACAAAGAATAAAAGGAACAGGTGGCGAGAAACCGCCCGCAAATCGTCGAAAGTATTCACAAAAGGTTTTTAAAGAGGGTTATAATTGGTAATAAAATTTCGGACGAGCAGGATATGAAGGTCTGGGAACGACAGCAAATGTTCAAGATGTAAAAAATTCAAAGGAAAAATTTTCTAAAACATAAACATTGAAGTAACAATCTACGGAAAAGGAGGGAGTAATGGCCAGAATGAAGGGCCGTGACTGGACCGAAGTAAAGAGACTATAGGGAAGGGGCTTAGACTGGACCGAAACATTGAGACGATAAAGGGGAGAGGCTTAGACTGGACCGAAACATTGAGACGATAAAGGGGAGGGGCTGAAACTGGACCGAAACATACAGACTGTTAATCGGAGATGCCAAGACTGGACCGAAACATTGAGTCTAAAAAGGGATGAGGCGTGACTGAACCGAAGCATAGAGACTGTAAAGGGAAGGGCCATGGCTGCAACAACACATAGACTGTACAGGGGAGAGGAAGTAGCTGTACCGATTCATAAGACTGTAAAAAGGATAGGGCGTGACTGGACCGAAATATAGACTGTAAAGGGGAGGAGCCGTAACTGTACCGTGACTGTAGGTATACGTACTCGATGTATCCGCGATCCGATAGCCGCAGAGACCGCACATCGGTTAATATTTGGCGGGGGAGAACAGACAAGAAAATGGACCAGAAAACAGACAATAAAACGGGCAAGAAAAAGACCAGAAAACAGGAAAGAAAACGGATTAGAAAAGAGGGAAGAAAACGGATTAGAAAACAGACTAGAAACATACAATGTAATAGACTAGAAAACAGACATGAAATAGCTCTGTTAATAGCCTACCACATAAAACATGTAAGAGCAAAGAAACAAACAAGTTGACAAGAGAGCCTGACAAACAGTATGAAATGTAGCAAAACAGCCTAAAGAATAGCCTGAAATGAATCGAAACAGCCTAAAGGACAGCCTGAAATGCAGAAAAACGTCCTAAAACAGCCTGGAACGAATCAAAACAGCCTAAAGTACAGCCTGAAATGAAGCAAAACAGCCAAATGAGCAGCATGAAATTTAGCAAGATAACTAAATAATTGTCTAGCCAATACCAGCTATTGTTGGCAGCTACTGGCGGCCAATATTGTTGGCAACTGCAATTGTAAACCACTCACTGCCCCTCACGTCACTTCACTGCCCCGCACGTCACTTCCCTTCCCCCTCACGTCACTTCACTGCACGTAGCTTTGCTTCTCGCCAACCATTGTCGTAAAATTTTGCTGTGCTGCGGTGAAGAGCAGGAGAAAAGTTAGCACAGTTTACGCTCAGCTGGTGCTGAGTTCCTCAGCATTGAGATCCTAAGCATTTCATTGACTGAGATCCTCAGCATTTCATTAACTGAGATCCTCAGCATTTCATTGACTGAAGTTCACACTTGAACAAGGGGAGGGATGTGGCACGACGTATTCCATGAAATTATGTTTTCGGCTAGCAAGCTTCTCACTTCTAACGCTGGGGGTCGTTACCGTCAAGCTTTTTTTGTAACCTTTGGTGAATTTGCTAACTGGCGTCCTTTGATTCGCAAGACAACATGTAAAGACACAGAATAGAATAGGTCCTACACAAATTAAAGCCAGAAAAAAATCTTTCGAGAAATACCCAGAATAGAATGAGTCCTACAAATAATAAATACGTAGCTCTGTAAAAATATGTTTTTCGAGATATGACCCAGCAACATAAAAAGAGTCCCACAAAAAATATCATGTATGAAATTCCGATAATAGACCTATTATCAAATGAGTCTCTCAAGCTTTATTGGTCTGTCTCTACGACGACGGCTGTCTCGCAAAGACCTTCGGTTTGTACCTCTGGATCTATATTTTAAAAATTCCTCAAGAATTGCGTCAGCCAGAGCTTGTGTGAAAATTTGGGCCTGCCAAACGGCCATCGGAGAAATGAAAGGAAGCTTCCGGATGTTGGGATACCCGAGGGCCAGAGACGTGGCATGGGAGGCCGCCAAGGCCAAAACTGCTGATCCCGCTTGGGTCGCGGAAGACAGAGGACAACTCCGTACGGGGGCAACGGGAATAGGAACGCGTAAAGGCTTCGCGATGGCCAATGATGACAAACTGGTTCCTGAAGATTCAGATCCAAATTTGTAGGATTTGCAAGAAGATCGCAGGGAACCGCCAACTGATCTGGAAACCGTGGCAGATCTACCAACCCGCAACGAATGTGTAGATCGTAAGCTCTGGGTCACCCTAGGCGCGGCAGCAGTGACGGGAGGTTTTGAGGCTCGCGTAGATTCAGATTTTCGAGTCTTGCGTTTTGACAAAATTGACCTAAAAGATCGAGAATGAACAGGAGCAATGCTTTGAGAACTTCCTTTCTCTTCGCTGCGTGATGACAGTAAAGCTCTACCACGTTTATTTTTGTTGGTTGTCACGCTATCGAAGGAACTGGCGAGGTAGGGTTTATGGTAGCCTTTTTTGGGCGTTTGGGAAGGGTCAAATGCTACTGGGTTAACGTACCCGCAATTCGCCGAGCACTCTGCCCGGCACTGATCACAATTATTGAACTCTGCCACAGGACAAATTGGAGTAAAAGATTCCTCTGGGGCAACTCGGGGCTTAAACTGACCAGCGGAAGGACACCGGCTACGGAAGATCGGCGAGTTCATCGCAGTCGAAGAGTGAGAACTAACGGTATCGACTGTTGGCGCGTTTTTGTTACTGGACCCGGATGGAGAATTTAAGCAAATTATAGAAAAACTCGATGGGTTGGCTATTGGGGAGTTAGGGTTGGTAACGGGAATAGGTGAGTCTTCGCTGCGCCCAGTGGAAGATTTGCGGGAATGGACCGGAGCGATGGAATCATCGTCGGTGACGTGCACCAGCGCTGCAGTAGTTGAGTTCACAAATAAGTTCGACGGTGTACCACCGACCTTCTGGTCGGATGAAGCAATCGCTTGATTATTAGTTAGAGGCGAGTACAAAGTACAGCCAATCTCTGGGTCTGTCGGTGCCTCAAATGACGAACCATCAGCAGACGAGCTAGACTCAACCGCGTAATCGGAAAACTGAGACGATAGTTTTTGGTAGGCGTTTCGGATATCCAACGAATTGGCTTGGCTGTTGAACTTGTCAGGAGAGCCGTAGTGATTCCTATCTTCCGAAGAACTCGAGCTGCTCCAAAAATCGTTAAGTTCGTCGTCCTCATCAAAGGATTTCTCGATTTGGTATTCATCGAAATCTCTCACTTCAGTTACTGTGTAGGTGAACTTACCAGTTTTCCTGCTCACACCATTGTTAGGCGAAGGAAAATTGGACGTTAATCTTCTGGGTGAACTCGGGCAACTTTGCCGGTGAATAGGAGATGTCGGAACACTGCCCTTAAATGTCGGAGACGATGGACAACTTCCCTGAAGAGTTGGAGATGATGAACAATTTCCTATTTTCCCAGTCATCCCCCTTCCTTCTTTCCCCGTCATCCCCCTCGTAGGGGATGACGGGCAACTGCCTTTCATTTTATGAGTCGATGGAAAACTTCCTCGTATTGTGGCAGATAATGGAGATAATGGACCACAGCTTCGACCTTTTAGTGAAAGTGAAGAATTTCTAAAAAAAATCGGAGATGAACGGCCATATTTGAGTGAATTTCGAAATTTGCTTTCGTTGCGACGTCGCTCTAGATCATCGCTCGGGAAATGTAGTAGCTCATTTGGATCACAAGCTCGACCAGAACGGCCGACGTTAATTGAATTTACGTCATGAATGCGATTAGAGTTTATGCCATAACTGCGCTGCGAGTCCGCGTATCCAGTGTGGTAGAATCTCGAGCCTTCAATGTTGGTGGGTCTGGTATATCCAAAGTGAGTATTAGTAGTCCACGGGTAACTGGTGCCTTCTCCACTACCATCACGCCCGACGTTATACTTGCCACTACTAACTTCACCGGTACTGATGCCACTACCATCTCGCTCGACGTTACACATGTTACGACCAGCGTCACTGGAACTTGGTGCCCTATGGTTGCCGCGTGCCCAGGCTTGGGTAATGCACTTACTTTCGAGGTACTGGGCAAGTTCTTGGTCGTCCGCCCGCCTGGCGAGGGACAGAGGCGTGTGTCCATCAGTGTCCTTCAGGAATAGGGAGGCGCCGGCGGCCACCAGCATACAACAGACGTTGCGTCGACCATTGGCGGCGGCTAAGTGCAGGGCGGACTGGCCTCTGAAATGGACCAGGTATAATAAAGGGGTGCGCCTTGGCATTAGTATTTCATTGCCGCACCCCCCAATTCATTGTATTCATCAACTCCTAACTCTTTGTTACAATAGTATCAATTAACGCACCTGTAATCTACGTTAGGTTCAAGAGCTGCAAGAGCAAGCAAGAGTGAGCATGCAAGAGTCAGCAAGAGCAAGTAAGAGCTGACCTCTCTGTGTCGGTGAGGTCGAGGAGGGCCGGAGGGGCCGCGGCCACGAGGTACCTCACGACGTCCCGGTGGCCCAAGCGAGCCGCGTGGTGAAGAGCCGTCTGGCCCCTCGCGTCGATGCTGAGCAGCGAGTAGCCTGCCTGGTGCACCTCCTTCACCTGTGCCCAAGTGATGATATGTACAGAGCTGGGCAGCGCTACTTTGAACTGTAGCGGCCGCTACCGCTACCGCTACGTGCTCTAAATGTAGCGGGCGCTACCGCTACCGCTACAATTGCTTAAATGTAGCGCCGCTACCGATCCCGCTACAACTGCTTAAATGTAGCGGCCGCGGCCGCTACCGCTACCGCTACAATTGCTTAAATGTAGCGCCGCTACTGCAACCGCTACTGAAAATGTAGCAGCCGCTACATGTAGCGCGCTACTGCCCACCTCTGGGTATGTATACTTAATCACTATCAGTATATATAGGTACCAATGGACCATGGATCCCAAGTATCATTATGTATTATAACCTAGCATTATTATTAAAGGTATCAATACCTGTACACCAAAGTATTGTAGCGACCATGTCCGCATATTTCCTTTAGTTATCCCACAAATCACTTTTTAAGAATGTTTGTAGATTTGTTGCCGTTATTAATCAGCGCTATTACCCTTCAACTGGAATCCATTATTATCGATCACATTTAAATTACCATAATTTATAATTACCAACCATAATGTAAATACTGGTAAATTTAAGTTAGCAATACATTCTCAATAACAGCATAGACCTAGTTCAAGTTATCAAGTAGTTCCACTTTGCCAGCTTGCTTTATACAACTGTCATAGCAATTGCAACCATACCTGTTTCATAGCTTACGCAACCTGGTCTCCTAAACTTTAATTGAATAACTAAAAGAGTTCTTCCTGTGATTCATTCCAAATAAGAAATACGGTTGTATAAGACGCTAGCGCAGTTTGGTCACCGACTCGCACGCCTTAACCGAACCATAGGAAGATTGGAATTAACAGCCGAAAATTGGCAAGCGTTAGGGCCTTAACCCTCTATAACGCCGTTCGTCACTCTCCGGGAACATAGCTTTTAACTTGAATTATACGTATACTATTGAGTGTAGCAACCTGAGGACGTTTGTACGCAACAGAGAACATGTTAAAGTTGTACGTGGCGGCAACCATGCATGTGTAAGTCATTTTGCGCTCACTTGCAAAATATCCATTTTGGGAAGTAGGCGCGTGACAATATTGCTCCGGTTACTCATGTCAGGCGGTAGAGGGTTAAGGAATTCATACTACACCAGCTAGCATTCCCTAGTTTTGCAGTATCAATACCGGCACTCGTTTGTGTTGAAACATAAGTGTCAATACAGTTTCAATACTCACGGCCTTCAAGTCACCAAGCTTGGCGGCTTTGATGAGATTCTCGGTGTGTCGCTCTAGCAGGTTACTGCACATAGAAACAACCATCATAGCTCCTCCATACCAGACGTACATCCATCCAATATAGACTCAATAAAGACATTATACTGACCCAAAATAGAACATACATGGACTCCAAGCAGAGACTAAACAGACAACATACCTGCAGACCCTATATAGGTAGGCCATATATAAATCATATATCGACCAAGAATTTATGAGGAAAGAAAACACCAAGAATATTTACCATATCTTCGAATAAAACATTTCGGAGACCAGCTCCATCATCAGTTAAAAAATTTATCAGGATATAAAATTTCACAGAAGATCGAGAAGGTCTGGAAAGTGGCAGATTCGTACGAAAACTCCCGCCTTGGTGTTCAGAAAGCCGGATGCAGAAGTTACGTGACGTCATAAGCATGTCAGCTGAGGCGCAACGCGCACAACTGTATTCATGAACCTGGTCTTGTGGAGCTGGTCTCCAAAACGCTTTCATTGAAGATATTGTGAATATACTTGGCGTTTCCTTTGCTTTTGTATTCTTGTTGAACTTGCGATATAAGTAGTATAATAATATAATACATATACAGGCCCGTTATAGAATATATATAAACCCTATTGGACTATATTATGACCATTTTAGACCCTATATAGTTTAGATATGACCATATAGACCCTATAAAGACCATATTTAAACCATATATCGACCCTGACCTGACATCGCCGGCGACGACATCTGCGGCAAGTCTGCAGTTTGCCGAAGGGGAGAGGGGAGAGTCAGAGGAGGGTTGGGGGGCAACGTCCCCTACAGATTGAGTGGGGATCACGTCTCCCTCAGACGAGGAGGCAGGGGGAACGTCATCGTCAGGGTTGAGGAGGAAGAGCTCATCACTGCACACGTCAGTGACGAAGTGCAGATGCTCCTGACCGTGGTCGATGCGGAAGAATCGCTCCGCAGTGCACGCTACGAAGGGGATTATTATCTCATTACCTTACTGTTACCGCTTTTTGCTATCTTAGAATTTTGATATCTTATTATCTCATAATCTCATTATTTTAGTATCTTGTTATTTTAGTACCCTGCTATCTTAGTCTTAGTCGGAGAGTCTTACTGTATTACTCTGTTTCTTTTATATATAGTATCATTATATCTTAGTTTTTGCTACTTACAGTCGAGGAAGCACCAATGCTCGGCCAGCGGTGGGGCCCCCGCGTCGCTGATCTTCTTGTTGATGATGCGGCGCACCTGCGGGGGGTGGGTCATGAGAGTGGGTCATGAGAGTGGGTCATGAGAGTGGGTCATGAGAGTGGGTCACGAGAGTGGGCCGTGAGAGTGGGTCATGAGAGTATGACTAAAAGCTGCATGTCAGAGTGAGACCTAAGAACGGCCATCATGGCGGGACATCAGAGTAGATGGTAGAGTGGGATGTAAAGCCCGGTCCACACGCTCAGTTTTACACAACGATTTGTCTGCGCAGTTCTAATCGTTGCAGATAAAACGTTGCGTGTGGACGGGAAAACTGCGCAGTTTTGGAGCCGGCGGGAAAACTGCGCAGTTCCATCGTGTCCGAGACGTCTCCATGGCGAGATCGCGCAAAACTGAGCAAACTACTCAGATAAGTCGGTACCGTGTGGACGCTCTAAAAATTGCAACGATTTCAATCCGACTTAAAACTGCGCAGACAAATCGTTGTGAAAACTGAGCGTGTGGACCGGGCTTGAGAAGGTGATAACAATAAAGTTTGAATCTTATGTAGAGGGCACCAGGCTTCTCACGTGGTCCAGGCTTCTTATATGGTCCAGGCCACTAGCGTGGACAAGGCCTCTCACGTTATACTGGTCACTCGCGTTCCCTACGCAACTCCATTACACAGGCCACTCATGGTCCCCAGGCCTCTCACGTTACACAGGTCAGTCGCGTTCCCCAGTCCACTCACGTTACATAGGCCACTCACGTTCCCCAGGTCACATACGTGCTCCAGGCCACTTACGTTCTCTATGGCCACTCGTGTGCTCAAGGACCCTCACGTGCTTCAGGATATTCTCATGCCTCAGGTTACTCGCGTGTCCATGCAGTATCACTCACGTGCTCCAGGTCGCTGTCGTGGTCCAGATCGAGCTGGAAGAGTGGCGTGGCTGCGAGCCTAAGTTTCTCCTTGTCGTAGTGGTGCTGCGTGTAGGCCTTCATCCCCAGCACCGCCACCTGCAGCCGCGCCTGCAGCGGCGCTCGCGGCCTGACATATAAGTGGTGTCAGCGGTGGGATGGCAAGGAGGAGGAGCGTCAGGTGTGGGAGGTCAGGGAGGAGGAGCGTCAAGTGTGGGAGGTCAAGGAGGAGGAGCATCAGAGGTGGGATGTCAGGGAGGAGAGCGTCAGGTGTGGGGGGTCAGGAAGGAGGAGCATCAGAGGTGGGATGTCATGGAGGAGGAGCATCAGGTGTGGGGGGTCAGGAAGGAGGAGCATCAGAGGTGGGATGTCATGGAGGAGGAGCGTCAGGTGTGTGGGGTCAGGAAGGAGGAGCATCAGAGGTGGGATATCAGGGAGGAGGAACGTCAGGTATGGGGGGATCAGGAAAGAGGAGCATCAGAGGAGGGATGTCAGGGAGGAGCGTCAGGTGTGGGGGGGTCAAGAAGGAGGAGCATCAGAGGTGGAATGTCAGGGAGGAGGAGCGTCAGGTATGGGGGGGTCAGGAAAGAGGAGTATCAGAGCTGGGATGTCAGGGAGGTGGGGCGTCAGGTGTGGGGGTCAGGAAGGAGGAGCATCTGAGGTGGGAGGTCAGGAAGGAGGGACAACAGGAGTGGGTATCATGAATGATGGGCATCATGAGGGAGGAGGGGCATCAGGAAGGAGGGGCGTGGGGGATGGAGCGTCAGGAAGTAGGGCGCCCCAGGGAGGTGGGCTTCAAGGAGGAGGGCGTCAGAGAGGAGAGCGTCAGGGGTGGAGCGTATGGGTGGAGCGTCAGGGAGGTGGGACGAGTGAGGAGGGGCGTAAGGAGTAGGGCACAAGAAGTGGGATGTCAGGGGTTCATTCACATATGAACAATTGTATGAAAATACTATTTGTAAAAGGTGCTCACCCGCTAGCCTTAGCCTTCATCTTGGTGACCATGGGTGCTTTGTTGAGGTGAGATATCTCGATGATGGCGGGGTTCACCCGACACGCCTCCCCATCAACCTGCATGGGGATGGTTTTGGTGGTGACGATGCGTGCGCGGGTGCACTGGGTAAGGCAAGTGCCATGTCCTCCCGCCTGCAGGAGGGGCTGTGGGGGAAGGGGGAGTTGAGGGAGCATACATTGTGGAAAAGAATCCAATGATTCACATGCGCCACCCGCCGCAGCTGACTCGGATAAACCACTTCTCGTCTTAACCACCGCACAAACTCTCAACGCCACTAATAAACCTCACCCTAGCCTCAATTTCACCGCCATCAGGCCTCGCCTTCCCTAAACCGTAAACACCTTGTCCGAGCTTCTCCTTACCCTCACTAAGATTCACCTAAGATTTTTTTCTATGAGCCATTAGAATAAAAGATACTCGGAATCACAAGCCCCTCTTATGATTGAAATTAAAAAATCATCTCAGCTTACGATGTTCGGAACAACGACTCAAACTATTTCGAAGCTCCACCTATGTGCAGGGCCTACTACTGGCCTCACACCCGCCCCTCACTGAGCCCCGCCCACACCCCTCTGAGCACTGCCTCTGCCCACGCCCCTCTGAGTACTGCTTACGCCCCCATGTTGAGCCCTGCCCACGCCCCTCTGAGCACTGCCAACGCCCCCATGCTGAGCCCCACCCACGCTCTTCTGAGCCCCGCCCACGCCCCATGCTCAGCCCCGCCCTCACCATCTGGTAGGTAGTGAGGCCGAGCACCTCGATCTTGCCGTCGTCTGTGCGCTGTTCGGCACCGCAGCTCCTGTTCCAAGGGTGCGTGCCGGACCCGTAGCTGGAGGTGGGTCAGTAGTGAGTGCATGGGTGGATCAAGAGGTGTGTAAACAGGTGGATCAAGAGGTGATTACATGGGCGAGTCAGGAGGTGAGTACAAGAGTAAGTACACGGATGGATTAAGAATGGAGTACAAAGATGCTCACGAAGGAGGTCTGTTCACCCAGGACCTATGTGTCACCATTCCCATAATATCATCCAGTCCCCAACAGTGTTCCCCACGCACCTAGTGTCATCCATAGCGTCACCCATACCCCTATGGTCACCTGGGGATGTTGAGGAAAACTAAGGCGTGCACGCGGTGCTCCTTAAGGAGGGGCGTGAGGTCCTTGCCGTCACACTCGAGGGTGCACATCTCGCAGAGGTCCTTCCAGCGCCGCTGCAAGAGATCCTTCCCGCCCGCCTGCCCGTAGAACATCTTGTTGCGCAGCCGCGAGTTGAACTTCTGCGGGTTGGCCTCTGTCGGGGGGAGGGGCGAGTAAGTTGGAGGCGGGTGGGTGGGGAATTGAGTTGGGATGGGAGAGCGAGTTGGGGGAGTTGAGGGAAGTGAAGGAAAGCGTGAGATGCGATAGGGAGAGTTAGTTGGGGAAAGAGCGAGTTTGGGGGGAAAGGTGGGAGAATATTCTGTTGAGTTTCCTCAATTAACAAACAAAAGAGTCGTGTTAATTCTGTTAAAAAATAAGCAAGGATGGAGTAAAGTTCTATACCCCGGGCCTTATAGCCTCATACCCCTTGCTTCATGGCCTCATACCCTTGGCTTTATGGCCTCATACCACTAGCCTCATACCCGGGGCCTCATACCACTAGTCTCATGCTCCTGGTCTCATACCTTTGGCTACATTGTCTTATACCCCTGGCTTCGTGGCCTCTTACCCCAGGACTCAACATGGCCTCACGCCCCGGGTCTCATTGTGGCCTCATGCCACTAGCCTCATACCCCTGGCCTCATGGCCTCATACCCCGGGCCTCATGGCCTCATACCCCGGGCCTCATGGAACTCGAGGGCGATGTGGGCGTCCACGCCGAAGGAGAAATAATTATTGACGACCGTGAGGGGTGGGGCATCCCTCCCCTCCTCGTTGGGGGGAGCATCGGGGTTGGGGGAGACGTCGAGCTTCCACCGGTCCAGGTGGATGACTTCCCCATCTGATATATTGCAGAGGATCTTGCTGATGGGTTCATCGGTGTACCTAGGGAAGAGACGAGGGGGACCTAAGAAAATGGGGGATCCAGATACACCGTTCATCGGTGTATCTGGGACCTGAGAAAAGTTAACCTAAGATAAACTGAAGTGTCATTGATATGATACGGACGCTTGAGAGAAGAGCGCCTCAAGACAGGAGCGCCTAATATAGATAAGGGCGCCTGATATAGACATGGTCGCCTAATATAGATAAGGGCACCTAATATAAATAAGGGCGCATAATATAGATGAGGGCGCCTGATATAGACAAGGGCGCCTAATATAGATAAGGGCACCTGATATAGACAAGGGCGCCTAATATAGATAAGGGCACCTGATATAGACAAGGGCGCCTAATATAGATAAGGGCGCCTAATATAGACAAGGGCGCCTAATATAGATAAGGGCACCTAATATAGATAAGGGCGCCTAATATAAATAAGGGCGCTTAATACAGATAAGGGCGCCTAATATAGATTAGGGCGCCTAATATAGATAAGGGCGCCTAGATAAGGGCGCCTAATATAAATAAGGGCGCTTAATACAGATAAGGGTGCCTAATATAGATTAGGGTGCCTAATATAGATTAGGGCGCTTAATACAGATAAGGGTGCCTAATATAGATTAGGGTGCCTAATATAGATTAGGGCGCCTAATATAGATAAGGGCGCCTAATATAGACAAGGGTGCCTAAGATAGACAAGGGCGCCTAATACAGACAAGGGCGCCTATTACAGATAATGGCGCCTAATATAGATAAGGGCGCCTAATATAGATAAAGGCGCCAAAGATAAGATATCCCCTCACCCGCCGCCCCAGCCCAGCGCCCTGGCCAGGTCGTTGCCGGTGCCCAGCGGCAGCACCGCCACGGCGGGCGGCGGGTCGATGGCGAGCTCGTCCAGCACACTGAGCACCCAGCCCACCGTCCCGTCCCCCCCACACGCCAGCACCCGCAGCTGGGGGACCTTCCTGAACATCTCCATCCTGGGGGAATAAAGAGGGATGACATTAGGAACCCATTCACTCCCCCACAGTATCGTCCCCCACACGCCAGCACCCGCAGCTGGGGGACCATCCTGAACATCTCCATCATGGGGGAAAAAGGAATATGGGAGCGTCAAGAGCGGCCCGTTAAAAAGAAAGAGGGGGACAGGAGCGGCCCGTTAAAGAGGAAGTGGGGACAGGAGCAGCCCGTTAAAGAGGAAGTGGGGGACAGGAGCGGCCCGTTAAAGAGGAAGGTGGGACAGGAGCGGCCCGTTAAAGAGGAAGGGGGGACAAGGAGGGGCCCGTTAAAGAGGAAGAGGGAGGACAAGAGCGGCCCGTTAAAGAGAAAGGGGGGACAGGAACGGCCCGTTAAAGAGGAAGGGGGACAGGAGCAGCCCGCTAAAGAGGAAGGGGGGACATGAACGGACCGTTAAAGAGGAAGGGCTGTCTCTTATACACATCTAGATGTGTATAAGAGACAGGCTCTGAGCATTGCCAACGCCCTCATGCTGAGCCCCACCCACGCCCCTCTGAGCACTGCCAACGCCCCCATGCTGAGTTTCGTACACGCCCCTCTGAGCACTGCCCACGCCCCTCTGAGTACTGCTTACGCCCCCATGTTGAGCCCTGCCCACGCCCCTCTGAGCACTGCCAACGCCCCCATGCTGAGCCCCACCCACGCTCTTCTGAGCCCCGCCCACGCCCCATGCTCAGCCCCGCCCTCACCATCTGGTAGGTAGCTGTCTCTTATACACATCTAGATGTGTATAAGAGACAGGCCCTGGTCCCCCTGATGACTCACCCAGCCCTGGTCCCCCCTGATGACTCACCCAGCCCTGGTCCCCCTGATGACTCACCCAGCCCTGGGTCCCCCCTGATGACTCACCCAGCCCTGGTCCCCCCTGATGACTCACCCAGCCCTGGTCCCCCTGATGACTCACCCAGCGCGAGGTCCCCCTTGTGTGAGATCGAACACCTGACGGGGGTTGAGAAGCCACTGGAATTTCTGCATGAGTTTAGCCCCCTGATTTCCCCCACTCTTGGGGTTAATGAAGACGAGCACGGGCCGGACGTTAGCGTTGGGGATGGGCTTGATAGCAAACGTCCGCACGTCCTTGTCCGGCTGTGGGTGTTAGGGTTATAACGGGTCAGTAACGGGCACTGGCGTACGTTATAAATACGTCTTTAGATGATCACAGTTTATTATAGGATTTCCTCATGCGCCTGTTTGCGTGAGAACCCATTATTCCGAGCGTGAGAACCATTTATTCTGAGCGTGAGAACTCTTTATTCCGAGCGTGAGAACTCATTATTCCGAGCGTGAGAACCATTTATTCTGAGCGTGAGAACTCTTTATTCCGAGCGTGAGAACTCATTATTCCGAGCGTGAGAACTCATTCCGAGCGTGAGAACTCATTATTCCGAGCGTGAGAACGCATTATTCCGAGCGTGAGAACCATTTATTCTGAGCGTGAGAACTCTTTATTCCGAGCGTGAGAACTCATTATTACGAGCGTGAGAACTCATTATTCCGAGCGTGAGAACTCATTGTTCCGAGCGTGAGAACTCATTATTCCGAGCGTGAGAACGCATTATTCCGAGCGTGAGAACCCATTATTATGAGCGTGAGAACTGATTATTCCGAGCGTGAGAATCCAATATTCCGAGCGTGAAAACTTGTTATTCCGAGCGTGAGAACTCATTATTCCGAGCGTGAGAATCCATTATTTCGAGCGTGAGAACTCATTATTCCGAGAGTGAGAACCCATTATTGTGAGCACGAGAATTCATTATTCCGAGCGTGAGAACTCATTATTCCGAACGTGAGAACCCATTATTGTGAGCGTGAGAACTCATTATTCCGAGCGTGAAAACTCATTATTCCGAGCGTGAAAGCTCATTATTCCGAGCGTGAGAACCCATTATTGTGAGCGTGAGAACTCATTATACCGAGCGTGAGAACTCATTATTCCGAGAGTGAGAACCCATTATTGTGAGCGTGAGAATCCATTATTCCGAGCGTGAGAACTCATTATTCCGAGAGTGAGAACCCATTATTGTGAGCGTGAGAACCCATTATTTCGAGCTTGAGAACTCATCACTCTGGGTGTGGGAACTCATTATTTCGGTCGTGAAACAACGTCATTCCCAGCGACTGTTAATGACGGAAACGAAGAGCAAAGTGATCGCTATTTATTTCCACACGCATTAGATTCCTTCTTTTTATTATTTCATAAATAATATAAGCTAAAGTTTGCTCTCAATTTACAATATTCGTTGATAATAACTTTGAGTGAAATAGAAACCTTCTATTATCAGTACAGCATATGAGCGAAGAACATGAATGAGAGAAGCTAATTTCTTAATTAGTATTTAACCGTAATTGGAACACAACAAGCCTGCACACTAATTAGCCTGCGTACTAATTAGTCTGCGTTATAATTAGCAACGCTAAGCAACTGGCAATAATTGAGCTTAATAACAAAAACAATAACAAACAAAGCCTCGGCAAATGCCAGAAATAATCAAACAAGCACCCAACAAACAATCGAAAGTAAACAAAAACAAAGGACGAAAGTCCTTTGTTTGAAAGGATGTAAACAAAGACGGAAGTACATCGATATTTGGACAAAGGCTCACTCATTTCTTTGAGTGTACGCACATTTACGCAACTTGCAAAGGCAGGAGTATATATGCGGTCATAAATTTGAATTTGTTTAATATTGCAATTGTAAAATTGCATTAAAATAGCGGCGTATGAGAATATTGTATTATTCAATCAGAAGCAATTTAAAGGGCAACTGCAATTAATACTGAGGTTCTAAATAAATTTAATTAAAAAACTGGCAAGCGAAGATTTAAATCCACCCACACATGATCACTCAGGGAAATAAGGAAGGTTTTGTCAAAATAGCGATGAACATTTTTACGTATGTGAGTCATTTTGACCCAGTTGGGCCCGAAATAGGACGCATTAGTGCCGCGTGCAGGAAGTGAGTCACAATTTTGACAATATGAATCATAAATTTTTCTGGTTGAAATATTCTACCGAACACAATATTGAAAAAATATTTAAAATATTGAAAATATTGAAAAAAAATATTGACAGTAAGAGAAATTTATATGTCATATTGTCTAAATAGTGGCACACATGTTACGTGAAGCACAGACACGTCCTTTTTTTCGGGGCCAAACTAGGTCAAGTCTGACCAAAACTGAGTCAAGATGACACAAGGGTAGAAGAGCATCGATATTCGGACAAAGTTTCATTAATTTTTCTACGTGTTAAATCAAGCCCAACGAAAGGTTACCGCTTGCGCCTCGTCAGGGGGGGCGCTGGGCCCCCCGCCCCCCGCCGCCTCGTCGCCCCCCTGGTCCTTAGACCCCCGAAAAAAAGACACGAATTGAGCCTTGAATTTTAATGAGTGTAGTCCTCATATACTGTATATAGAGTGGAGTGGACAAATGACGTCATCGTTAGGAGAATAAATGTGATAATATTTTATATTAAAATAATTTAACCTCCGTGTGATGAGTTCCGTATTAACCGTAATGAAAATATGTCCGCCCCTTCACACTCACTCCCCACCTCACCCTGTAACCCCTTTCACCCTCTCCTACGTCCCCACCCACCCCTCACCACTCATCCCCTCACCACCCACTACCCTCACCCGTCACCCCCACCTCACCCAGCAACCCCTTTCACCCTCCCCTATGCCCAGCCACCCCCCACCATTCATCCCCCTCACTCCTCCCCTCACCACTCATCCCCCTCACCCCTCCCCTCACCACTC